ACACACACACACACACACATGCAAAAGAGCGGAGGGCGGCGAGCGGAAAGGGCGGAGGGGGAGGCATGGCTCGGCTCTCGGCTTGGCGCCTAGGACCCAGAGCGCAAAGAAGCCAGCAACGGCCCGGCCGAAGTTGGTCTCCAGCACTTCGTCCAGCCTCGCGTCGCAGTCGCTGCTTCCGTGTTCAAGCCCACAACCGACAAAACCGTCTGGGACTTTCAGTGAGGGCTGGGCCACTGGAAGCTGCCCTCACACCGGGCTTCCGTATCGGCCACATCGAGACCTCACTGTCTCTTAAGTTTTGAAGGACTGAAGCAGAACCGGTCGCTGCCGGCCGTTCCCGGGCCGCCGGGCCTGGCTTCGGCGCCGAAGAGGGCTCCCCGTGCCCGGGCCCGGGCTCGGCCGCGAGCCGCATCCTCCAAAAAGAGCAGCAGCCGAGTCCAGCCGAGCCTCCCCGCTTTTTGCCTGAGCCCCGAGCTGCTCCGGCGCCGAAGATCCGAACCCACGAGGCTCGCGACGCTGAAGCCCAAGGAGTGTCAGGCAACAGCCGTAGCTTAACATGCTCAAGTTGCCTCTCGGAAAGCCACGTCGGGCATCCAGGCAACGGTGACTTTATCAGACATGCTTGTGACAAGGCTTTGGCAGTGTCCTTTTCCATGCAAGCTCCGCGGCTCCGGGTTGCGGTTCAGCCACGTTGAAGACCCGGGTGCACGCACTGCTGCGCATCTTTGGCGACATGCACAAGAGCAATTTTGGCATCTCGCAGGTGACTGGCTGCCTAGCTGGTCTGATGATGATGATGATGCTGATGATGAGACGCCGCTGCCAATCTATGCCAACTTGGAAAGCTGCCATTACGATCATTTCGTGCATGCAAGCGCGTCGACGGCCGCTTGGTGAGCCTTCGAACCTTGCACCTTCCGCGGGGCGTGCCGAGAGGCCTTACCTGGATGGCTCGGTCCGTTGCTGAATTCTGCTGCGCTTGCGCTTCACGCTTTCGTCCAGAATTTCACTCAAGTCTTGAGGCCCTAATTCGGGCGGACCTTACTTGCAGGTACGCATCCAGATGCTGCGTGAACAGAAATCTGAAAGCCTGCGAATGTCAAGGAGCAGGGGCAAACTGTGGCGTCAGAGTGCTGCCGGCTGCCAATGCGTACCTGGAAAGACACCATTTCACCTTCTGGCGACCCCTCCGCAAGAAGCCTTCCCTCTCACAACCCTGGCCCAGCAGCTGTGGTGCATGTGCGTTGCTGCCGACTCTGTGGAACAGTGGAAAGCGCAGCTGGTATGAATGAAGGGCAAGCACCCAGACGGACACCTGTTGACTTCCATCCACACGCCGTGCTGTGTGTTTGCGACGTGAACTGGCAGAGCCTAGGATTCTGTTGGCTCCCGGTTTCCTCTGGGCGAAATCAAACCAGTGTCATCTGCCAGTTCCTCGGACAACTCCGCAGTGGAACACTTGCCGGGATTAGGAGACACATGCGGATGCGACAAAAGCGAGGTCGAGGGATTGGGGACTGGATGTGTGAGATAGAAATTCGGAAAGGAGTGAAGAAGCGGAGATGACTGATGGGAGGAGCAGCTGCAAGCATCAGGACGGAGATACCGTTTCGCTCGACGGCTCCCGGGCCTCTGAGCTGCATCCAAGCGCTTTCCAGCCACGGCGGCCAAGCTGGGAGCCGGCACTGCCTCGGTTATAGGCCGGAAGCTTCCTACAGCCTTAGCCAAAAAATGAAGTCCCTTCGTCGTGGGAAGCAGCAGTGTCGCGCTCTTCTGCTTCGAGTGCGGTTGATGGTAAATCTTCCGGAATTCCGGAAAGTTTACAGAGGCCAAAAGGCCATGAGCCAGGCCACGGGAGCAAAGGGCGGGCTCGGAATCCGAGGGCCGCTGATCGCCTCACTCTCGCTCGCAGGAGCCCAGGGCCTGAGGATGGAAGAGGCTGCTAGGCCCTACAGTAGGCCCTACAGTGGGCCCGAGCGGTTTATCAGGTGCCTGTCGTTTTTGGCTCTGGCCCCCTTTGCCTGATACATGTGCCCCGCCTCCTTCACTCTTGACACTCGGAACAGCATGACAACGGCCCAATTTGCCGGGGGCGGTGCTGTCTGGCTTCGGACAACAATTGGAATAAACGCGCGCTTCCGGCTGATGCTCTTGGCGTATTTCAAGCCCTGCGCCGCGGTTGCGTCTTGACGAGGAAACACGAATGGCTCTTTGCCAGGGACTCCGACTCCCGGGGCCCCTCTTTTTCCCTCACATGGATCGTTTCAGGCCTGGCGAATGCGCATATGCAAAGTGTTGGCATAGATAGAGCTCAAGGTCTGGCGAAAATTCCTACAGTATTGGACACTGTGTACAACTGTTGAGCACGCCATACGCCGACGCCTGTCAGGTATGTCAAGAGGAGATAAAGAAACTAGGTAGCTGGCAAAGTGTCAACAGCGCATACTGGGAACACTTTGCCATGACCGACAGTCTCTGAAGAGGTGTCGCGATCCCTCGGTTGCACGTGCAGTGAACCTGCTGGCGGCTTGAGACTTTCCATGTCACGCGCTTTGCCAGTCTCCAGTCCGCTCTGCTGTTTTGCGACGGCTTGCGCACCATCCTTGCTTCGGCCTCGAATGCTTGCGGTTGCTGCTTCTTGCATCTGCGATCTTGGCAACACGCCTGGAAGTTAGGTGGTGCTTTCAGGCTTGTGCTGTTGTGCCCTCTGCCCACTAGAACACCAGAACCCAGCGTCCTGGAAGGCTCCGGCGCTCGGCTGCTAGGTGAATCTGCGGGAGGCTTGGCCACGGCTGTTGGAACTGCCGCTGGCGCCGCAAACGACGTGGCCTGTGCTCACTGGTTCTGACATCTCCCGCCCCTCCCCTTCGGAGATCCTGCCTCGGGCCGCTTGTGGCCGCAGTTCTTGCAGAAGCGCGCAGTTGCCGGGTTCAGGGTCCCACAGTTGGGGCAGTGGTAGGGTTCAGCCTCGCCACACGGATCCGTTAACAAAAAGGCCTGCAGAGCCACAAATTATCAATGCTGCCTTGGGCGAAGCAGGTTGTGGAGGAGTCGGTGCTTCAGGGCAGGCCTCGCCAAGTCGCAGTCTTTATCGAAAGTCAGACACTTTCGTCATTTGTCAGATTTCAGCCTGCCCCAGCGCTGCTCCACTCTCCGGCTTTGCCTGCAAGTAGCCTCGCAAGCTTTTGGAAGCGGTGCCCCCCAGCGCCAAGATCAGATCTGCAGCCCGGCCACGTGCTTTGCCGGCTAGGAGCGCAGCTTGGGCAGACCTTGGGAAGTTCGAGGAAAACCCGAAAGGTGCCGCAGCTCGCTGGAGCTCGCTGGGTCTCGTGGCCTTGAAGGAGACGTCGGCGATAGAGACTTTGGAGATTCAGCGCCTTCGCATCGACATCGTGTGTTGTTTCGTGAAGCTCTCGAGCTCTGAGCTTGCGGCGAGTCTCTTCCCCCGGCCAGATCCTGGGCGGATCTGCTAGCTCAGGGCTCAGCTGCCGTATGAGACTTCATGCACAGTTGTATCACAGAAGGGACTCCTCTCTAGCGCCTGAACTGGCTGCGGTCGAGCAACAGCAGAAAGCAGAGAAGGCTCTTCTTCCCGTCCCAGGTCCGTTGCCACTTGTCGCAGAGTTTCTTCAAGGCCGAGCCTCCCCAGCTCTGCCGTGCACAGCTTTTGAACTCTCCACAGCTGCTGTGGCTTTTTTTTGCCACTGCATCTCAGACTCAGAGCCTGCCACAGCTGCGGTGAGAGGCGTCTCCTGCAAGACTTCCACTGCGTCCTGAGCCAGAACCGGGCAGCGAAGCGAAGGAGGGGGGGGGCGCGTCCCCACGGCCCGTCGGTGCCTCTCCGGACATGGACTCAAAGAGCTGGCCCGAGCCAAGCCTCGACGCGAGGCCCAGTGAGGCGAGGCTTCAGCGCGTGGGAGCTGAGAAAGCTGGGCCCTCAAACAGCACGAGGCCCGGGGTGGAGTCGAAGGAGGTCTTGGCCAAGTCAGGCTTTGTAGAATTGCTGGCCTCAGGCTCAACAGTGCCTCACCAACTTCAAGGCTCAGACACACTTTTTTGCCCAGTTGCCGAGTGCCCGAAAGCACGAGACAGCTGGAGTCCGTCCGGCTGCAGATGTGTGGGGCTCAGGAGATCCACCCGGCTGAACCTTTTGCCAGCAGGCTCTGACTGAGACTTGCTCTCTGACTCTGAGCGGTTCTGAGGGCTCTTCTGCCCGGCAATGGTCGCGACCAGAACCCGGCTCTCTCCGAGCCAGGCCAAGTGCACCGAGTCGCCCTTCGCCCCAGTCGCACGAAGAGACCCCCAAGCAAGGAAGGTGGGCCCAAGGCCTGCTGCAGGAGCGCTGCCACACTGGCGCCTCCCGGGGCCCAAGTCGCTGTGCGTCTCTGCAAAAGTTTCGCGGAAAAGGGCGGCGCCCCGCCTGACTGCGAAAGGTCGCAGTGTGCGGCACCTGCTAGCAACGGCGTCTTCGGTGCATTTGTATAAGCCTGAGCTGGACCTGCTAAGGTCGAGCCTGCAAACTGGCTGAGCTCTGCCGCTGCCGCATGGAAAGCCCGGGCGATTTGCTGCTCGGGCACCTGTCAGGGACTCGATTCGCCCCAAAAAGGGCCTCCTCTTTCCTCCCTAAAAGGACACGTTGTCTTGTACGTTTCCTTGCGCCTCCTCGGTCGAAGCTTCGAAAAGGAACTTGGGAATGCTCTGCGCCACTCGGAAGGACACCAGGTGGCCAGCGGGGCCGAAGCCATGACACACCTGCCAGAACTCAACCCTGGGGTGCCGGCCGCGTCGCTGCGTGCTGCGTGCTGGCTTCTCTTCTCTGAGCTTCTTGCCAGATAGAGTGTTCGACCGGCTCTTTGGGTGATGCTGAAGCAGTCCTCGCAACCGGTGCACGGCTCGCATGTCGGCGGAAGCCTACGGCATCTGGGAGGATGGGCCTTGCTCGGCTCCACCCCGCGGCGGCTGCAGAAGCAGGCCTGCAGTATATGTGGATTCGTAAAACCGAAAAGTGCTACGTGAGAAGTGCTTCCTTGACTCGTGTTTTTGTCGGCTTCGCCTGCGCCCGGCCCGTGCCCTGGAAGCTCGGCAGCGCCTGGGCCAGTCCTGCGAGGTGCGGTGCAGAAGACACCGCAGCGGTCGGCAGAGCCTACGTACTGTAACTTCTAAGGGATCAGGGCAGGGCATTGGCGGGGAAATGGATGATTGCCCCGGTTGCAAGGCGCGTCCCGCTGCATCCAGGCGCTTCAAGCTGATGCGATTCTCTGAAAGCCTTGGGGGGGAAAAAGTGCAACACTGGGCATGGCATGGAGCTGGCTCCCGACTCCACTCTTGCAGCCTCTCTTCTGTACCCGCAAAAAAAACGCATAGGCAAACCTCTCCGTCTCGCGCAGGCCGCACATCCCAAGCATGGGATGAGAGAGTCGCCCGTCTTTCGCCAAAGCACGGCGCGCGAAGCCAGGCGCCGCTGGAGCCCGAAGAGGCCTGGACCCGGATAAAAGAGAGACACAGAGAAAGAGAGCGAGAGAGAGAGAGAGCTTTGGAGCCTCGACAGTGCTCAGGAGCTGCTGATCGAACTCCTGAGGTCCCGGTCCCAAGAGCAACTCAACTCAGGGCCCTGTCTCCGGTTCCCTCCGCCACCTTTGGACACAGCGATGTGTCCGGAGCCAGGGCCAGGTCCTTTTGCCACGGCCACGCCCCGTCGCGCCCCAAAGAGAGAAAGGGGAGATTTTTGGGCATCTCCTCTTGGGGCATCGGTCGACACCTCATGATTCCAATGACACATAAATGACTGAAAGGCTCGAACCGAGAAAAGAGGCTCGGTGAGTCCCCGGCGGCGCTGTCGCGGGGGTGCCTTAGCTTGAAGTGTTTTCAACTTCTGGCAAGGCAAAGCACAGCGTCCCGGGCCTCGGCTTCCTCCCTGACCTGGAATCCAATGCAACCTCCGGTCATCTCCGGTCCAAGCGCAGCTCTGAGGCTCACCGAGAGCGCAGCAAGATGCAGGAGACATCGTCGGAGCAGTCTTCGGCGGCCTCAAGAAAGGCCGCAGCCAGCGTAGCTGCGTAGATGCTGAGCCACGCTTGCCGGCGGCCTGCTGCCACCGAGAACGTGCTTCCGCCGCCAACTTGCCGGCCGCGAAACTTGGGCCTTCAGAGCAAAGCCTTAGGGTGGATCTGTGCCCCTGGGCTGCCAGGAGGCTCCCGCCGCACTCTTTCAAGCGGCAAGCTGTCAGGAGCTGCAGAGCCTCCTCGCCCGGCCTGGCCAACAATTGTTCCCCAGCCCCGGTCGGGCAAATTGCCCAACCCTCCCCTGCGCCTTGCATCGTCCAACATTTCCCAGAAGCCACCCGAACCCAGCAGCACCACACCGGGTGTCCTTCAACACAGTGCAAGCTGCTTTCAGTGCTGTGATTTTTCGCGGCGAAAACAACCCGCCTCTCGAAGGACGTCTTCCTGATCTCGGGCTGCGAAGAGACGCCGAGACCCTGGAGCTTCTGCTTGCGCTTTCAGCTTCAAGATCTCTGCTCTGCGATGCTCCGAATCCCGCCTGCCCGGCCAGATCGCCAAAAGCACGGGTGACGAAGAGCCCCGGGTAGCGCTCGCCCTGGCGAACAAAGGAAAAAGTGCTCGTGCGCAGCCAGTCAGCTTTGAGAACTCTGGCTGGGCGACCGGTACGAAGAGCCTTACCTCGCATGGAGGGGGTGGCGCAAATTCGACGCAGGCGCAGCTACTGCCTGGCGCACTCGCCGGTGCCCCGGCAACAAGCTGCGGCCCGCACGTGTCCGGAATTTGGCGGCACCTTCACGGGACGTGATGGTCTCTCACTCGATTTCTCCTACACTCGCTTCATCTCTTTTCACTAGGTTGCGAAGGGCATCTGTTCTGATGCTTGCCAGGAAACGGGCCCAGAGCAATTGCAATCCTACATGTGAAGGTCCTAAAGGTCCTAACGTCAACTGCAAGTGACTGATGCGCGGCGACCTTGAACATGGAGAAAAGTTGGAGAGGAAAAGACGGGAGACATGCCGTTATGCCGCCTCATTCTTCGGCTTACTTCGTAAAACAAGTGACGCTGGCTCTGTTTCGGCGTGAGCTCAAATCCCCAGCTTGCATCCACCTGAATCAACTTGGCGCCGCTGTTCCGCGCGCGCTGCAGCTCCTTTACGTCCTGTGCCAGCATGCGATGTCAGAGCCCATGTGCAAAAGGCAAGACACACGTCACACGTCCTCGGTGGTGTGAGCCGGAGTGACCTGAGTTTGCTCCGCGCTCGCTCCGCTCATCGCCAGGCCACACTGGGGCAAAGGCCAGGTCCACTCGCCGGCTCGTCTCTGTGACCTCAAACGGCCATGTTTCGGCGTCATCGGGCGGAAATGCCACCGAGGCACCGTGGCCACCAGGACGCGCGTGTCCCCAAGCCAAGCCTGCGACGCAGCATAACGATGTCGCGCTTGTGAATGTCGATGAGTGCAATGTGGCGTGTGGGACTGAGAGCCCCGCCACTTTCACCTCGTCCCCGTGCCGGAACGCTACACTGCAGCTTGCTCCCGACCTGGGGGACAAAGCAAAGGCTGGCGAGCTTTTGCTCTAACAGCTGCAGTACCCTGAGTGTGTATGTATGTCACACAGCATGTCCGTACATTTTGACAACAAGCTAGATGTCTGCGTCCCATGCGCGCCAGGTCTTGGCCGCCCGGCGATGCAATGTCGATGTACTTCGCCTTGGCAAACTGCGCCACATCTTCGGCCACTTTCGGGAAGGCATGCACCTCAAAGAACACCCGGCAGAACAGCTCGCAAGCATGTGAGCCGCCTGAGGCTTGCGCCAAAGCCTCTTCAGGGCGATGCCCTGCAGCAAGTAACTGCTCCAGGAACCAAGGCAAGCTCTGCCTGGCACGGTGCTTCAATTTTTGTGTGGACCTTTAGCACTTCCAGAACCAGGCGTGAGCGGCGCTACACGAAAGGCCACAAGATGTCCGAAGGGGCCATGCCCATCACCTGTTCAGTATCCAAAACACGAAGGATCTGAGTCCATCAGCTCCCATGTTCAGGGTCTCTCTGGGAGCCCCGCAAAGCACATAGAGGATGTCCTCGTCGTAGCGCGTGAGGCTCAAACAGTCCTGGGAGTGAGCCCAGGTAGAGCTCAAGGCGGAATGCGGATTGTCCCGGCCTGGCAGGGCAGCGGGTCCGTGCCTCAGCCAAAAGGGCCCACAGCTCTTTCGCCGATACAACCTCTTGTGGGTGGCCGACTGCCTCGCTTGCCTCGGAGGCTGGAAATTCCCAGCTGAAAGGAGCTCCTCCCGGCCCTCAGAAAGGACACCGCTGGATTCACAAATGCGAGCATCACTGCATTCGTCTGCCCTGCAGCACCAGCTTAAGGTTTTTCCACCACATCCAAGGTCTAATTGGAATCAACTCCGAATAGAACCCGACCTCCGGTGTCTTTGAGCGGATTCCGGGCTATTGCACGCACCCAAGAGTCCGCGATCGTCAGCGAACCTCTTCGTTAAAACTCGCGACCATGTGCGCCGCTTCCCGCCACTATCAGAGACTCCCTCTTGGTTCTCGGCGAGAGTTTCTACGTTGCTAGGCCGCCAACAGCAGGTGCAGCCGCACGTCCCAGAACACAGCCCATGTGATACTGATTTCCAGTTCCAGAGCACAGGCGTACTGACAGAGCTTCTGAGCTCGCAGCACGCTTTCGGCCGTCTCCTGCAGAGCCCCGAGCCGCCGCAAAGGGCAGAGCCATGCTGCCATGCTTGCGTTTTTTGGGGGGCTGCGGGATGCGCCTCGGCGGGGACAGCGGCCTGAAAGGGCTCAAGCCACTGCTGGTCATCTTTCGGCACCTCGTGGTGCAGACTCTCCGAACACCACAGGTGCAGCAAGGGAAAAGCTGGCAGACTTGGGTTCAAAGCTCAGGGCGCTTTCTGGCTTGTGGAATCAAGCTGCAAACTCATCTGCATCCGCCCCGAAACCCTTCGGGTTCCCGGGCTTGCGGGGCTTACCTTTCTGGGCTTTGCCCTTGCCAGCGCCCTTGCCAGCACCCTTGCTGCCCTTGCTGGGCCGTCTCTCCTTGCGGCCTTCTTTCAGCCGGCCGCGCGGCCCGCGGCCTGCCCCTTCCTGGGCCTCCGCAGTCCGCTCGTACCTGAGCCGAGACATGATTAGGCACGGACATAGAGTGCGCGTACGCCTCGTGCGACATAGATGCGCAGAGAATAAGATACAGTAAAGCATCATATCATACCACAGGGTCTTGAACGTGATAGCACACCCCCACACACACACACACACACACACACATGTGTGTGTGTGTGTAAATGCATGTGCCAGTACGTAAGATCCTACCTCGTGGGGCCCCACGAGGCAGGGGCTTCTTTTGTCCGGGGTCCGGGCCGGTTCTTCTGGACCACTTCGCGCGGTGCTTCGCGAAGGGCGAAGCTGGTCGCCAGGTGTCCCAAGTGGAGCTGGCCGAAAGGAAAGGATGCTCGGAGCTCCCGTGGGAAGGAGCGATAGGCCTGCGGAAAGCGGAAAGCCCCATCCTCACTAATCCTCTCCCTCTCCCCCCGCGACTCAGTTTTTCAGGAAGGAGATCCTACTTTTGTGTAGCCTTCAAGGAGGCCAGGAAGCCGGAGCGCGCCCGTGAGGCCAAGGCTGCCTGTGCCGCCACGCGGCTGGCGAGGTGGCCAGATAAGAGGCCCTGAGATTCAAATGCCGAGGCAGGGATCTAAGCGTCTAGGGCCTCGAGGGACCTCGGGTATATTCGGGTACATTCTTCCCTTAGGAGTATGTTTTCAATGTTGAGGGATTATTGCAGGCTGATTTCCCTCCTACGAGTAGGGGGTTTAGGTCCGAAGCAAGACGTCGTCTGGGCTGGGCAGTCCTGCAAGTCCCGATAGCCTGTCAGAGAAGCCGGCGCTTTGCTTCGCAACCCGCTTAACAGCTCCTGCGGCGCAGTAGGCTCCCATAGAAACGACTTCCACTGCTCTCCTAGATCAAATCGAAAAGGGACCCCAATACATCAGAATATGCCAGTGTAGATGATCCCCAACAAATACTCGAGCACCATGACGGCCGCTACGACCACGACCACAAGGAGACCCTAAAAGATTCCAACAAGCATTCCCAACACTGCTGGCTCATGCCAAAAACGACCCAAATGCTGTCCCTTGTGTACTGCTGCGATTCAGCGTTTTGGCTGGCCAACAATTGGTGCATGTATTGGAATTGACGATGAAGATTGCTCTCCAGCGGAGTGCTTCCGACGGATCCGGTGCACGCAAGAGGACGCCAGCGCAAAGAATGCACCGCACCACAGCCGGGGAAGGCTTTCCGCTGCGTGCCGCCGCCCACCCTAGTTGTTCTACGAGTCTTATAGAATCCCCAAGAGTGCCATTGCAATGGAAGGCCATCTAGTGTGATGTAGTGTACGAAATGTTAGGGGAAGATCTCAAATCGCTCCTCGAGCTGCATCTCCCGGAGGTCCGTGAGGTTTCGGCTTCTGAGGACGTCCAGGAAGCCAAGCTCACTGGGCTGCAGGAAGAGCAAGGCGCTTCCCTGCTGGCCGATGCGGGCTGTGCGACCAACGCGGTGCAAATACTCCTCGGTCCTGCGAAGCACTGAGAAAAAACTGAAGCACACGTCATCCACACACCAGAGCGAGAACAAAGCGAGTCCTCTGCGGGGGGTCGTACTGGATGATCCAGTCGATCTGAGGGAAGTCGAGGCCGCGAGATGCCGCGTCGCTTGCAAGAAGCACTCCTCCAGGGACTTTCAGGAAATCCCGAATGTAGCCAGCACGCTCTTCTTTGGAGAGGCTTCCATGCAGCTTGAAGAGTTTCGTCTTCGCAAACATCTTCTCTTCGTTCTGGCGGTCAATATCTTCAGCCGCCTCCTCCTCTTCCTCCTCCTCCTCCTCGTCCTCGTCCCTCAAGAGCTTGGCATCCTTCGCGAGGCCTACGAAGCGACCCTGCAGCTTCTTGATGGCGGGGGACAGGCCTTCCCTCTGCTTCGGACCGCCGCTACGAGGGGGCCAGGCCGCGTCCTGCAGCAGGTCGCAGTGGAAGTCCACCGAAGCTCCCGTGGAGAAGAAGATGATGGACTTCTTCTCACCCACCCGGGACAAGATCGCCGCAAAGAGTGCTGCGAGCCTCTCCTTCCCTGGAACTATGCAGTACCACTGTGTCAGCGTGGATGGGGCCAAGAAGTTCAGCTCTTGACCGACAGCCACTGTGCCGGTCTCGACTTCTTCCTTCGCATGCGCCTCGGCATCTGCCCAGAAGGCCTTCGGGCGGAGGCAGAAATCAGCAAGCCTTAGCTTCTTGAAACTTCTGAGCAACGACTCTTATAGGACCTATTTTCGAAAAAGATCCCACCGAAAGGAGCCTGGACATGGGATGCCATCTCAGTTGCTGCTGCACCGCGGGAACCAGAGTTGCCGACACCAGCAGCGTCTGCACCGATCCCGTGGGGCTTTCGGCATTCTCGCCCTCCTGTTCAGGATCGCAGCCAGTTGCAAATCCCGGTACCGTCACCTCCCCGAGTCCTTGGCAGCTTCCAGGATCTTCTTGTGAATAGACCGTATCTGTGGCTCAAAGCCCATATCCAGAAGCCGATCTGCCTCGTCCAACACAAGGCACCGGATGTTGCGGACCTCATTGCGAGAGGACTCCCAGAGCTAGCCGCCGCTGAAAGAGACACCAAACCGACGACGGGGGGAAACACCTCACGAAACAACATGTCAATGTCGTCTAGACGGCTTCACCCGTGAAGATGTCGAGAAGTCGAGGCGGCAAAACCCGCTTGTCGAAAAGCTGATTCAACAGTATACAGGTTTGCAGCAATCCCAGTCTTTCTTGAAGGGCGACCCAAACTCCTCAACGGAACGAAACTCACCTCCGACGCCCGTGATGGAGACTTTCTCGAGATGGCGGGCTTTAGGGTCTGCTGTTCTCTCCGAGGTGCAACGAACGTGGCTGTATGCTCGAGGTGGTATGCCAAGCGCCCCGGAGTCGCGCAAAGGAGCACGAGACCTTTGCGGATGCGGGCTTTCTCGCTCTTTGGCTTCTCTCCACCTGCCACCGCTCCACACACCAGGGAAGGCATCATCCGAGCCAGATCAGATGCAACCTTCAGCGTCTGGAGTGCCAGTTCTTTGGTGGGTGAAAGGACTGTGGCCAGCGTCCCCTTCCTGAGGCGAACTCGCGCTCTGCTGTTGCATTCTACACTCTACAAGTAGTTACGTGTAGCATCTTCTGCTTAGGCTTTGCATGGCTTTGCGGTCCTGCGGTCTAGGCCACCCGGAGTCACCAGCAATTGGTGCAAGACCGGCAGCAAGAAAGCCAAAGTCTTGCCTGAGCCTGTCGGGGCCCGCAGCAGTACATCCCGCTTGCCCGTCAATGCCCGAGGCACAGCAAGCGCTTGGATGGGCGTGCAGTCTGTAAAGCCCAGATATTGAAGCTGCCGAAGTAAGGACTCATGCAGTTTCAAAGCCGCAAAAGCCGTCTCCGAGACGATGCCGCTCTGTTTCAGTTCCGCGGCCTTTCGTGGGGCTTCAGGCTTCTCACGGCGTTCACGGATCTTGGGCTTCTTGGGAGGCGACGTAACATCGGATGCTGACGGACGCGGTTCCCTCGCGGCCTTAGCCGCCTGAGCCTTCGCCTCTGTGCCGGGCACCGTGGCCTTAGCCGTCCTCTTCCAGGCCTCCAGGACCTTCGCTTGCTTGGAAATCTTCGGCTCTTTCCGTGGCGCCTCCTTCGCCTCGCGCTTCCGCTTTTTGCGGGAGGGTGCGGAGGGCTCCGTTTCCTGGAGGCTCTCTGTCGGCTTCGTCGGGTTCTTCCGGCTTTTTGTCAAAGACTTCGCCTTCCTCTTTGAAGGACCGTCCGACGCACTTTTCCGCCCGAGGGCCTGGATGGCGCGAGCTGCACCTGGGGCCAGGCCAGAAATGTTGATGCTCAGGTCATCCATTGCCAAGGATCCCAGCAATGACCAGTTGACCAGCTAGCCAGCTCCGCTGCGTTTTTGTTTTGCTGGCTCTGTCTTGTGCTGTCCGGAAGATCCCGAAATCTCACCGTGTCTGCAGATTGTAACTTCATGACGCCACTTTGGGCGCTTTGTTGAGCTCAGTGTCTGCAGCAGAAAAGCTGTCAGCAGGGGTTGCTGTTTCGGGGCTGTGCAGCCAGGCACCCGCGGTTCTAGAGCAGCGCCTCCATGACGGTTGGGTCCGATCCAGGTCTTCGCACCTACAGCGCAAGGCGCGGTGGCTGAGAAAAGGCAGCGGCTCAAGGGCTCCCGGCCCAAACACGTCTTTCCTCTTCAGGCTCCAGGTGGCTCACAACCTCCAGGAAACAACTGCAGCTCGATCCCTGCCCTGCAGCTGCGCACGGCAGCCTGCGCTTTGTATTGCTGAGGTTGGAGTGCGGGATCCAGGCAGATCATCTCAGGACCTCACTGTCAGTGCCCCCCGGCATGCCAAGTACCCTTTTTTTCAGCACTCAGAAGGCGGAGTGGCTCTGCAGCTGCTGATCGATGTCGAGGGCCTCGCTCGGATAAACACATGAGCCGAGTCTCTCGCCTGGCGGCTCCTGCCGCGGCTCTTCCCGCCTGCTCCGGCCGCACCAGCTCCCGCTCCACCTCTTAGCATGCCGACTACGACGCGTTTGGGATTTAGGCCTTGCCCTTGCTCTCTTAGCTGGGACGGCTTTTGAGCACAGCCGTCTGTCGAACACCGAAAGGGTTGGATCCGGACATCCCGCCTTGAGCTTCGCACGCCGGCGCTTGCTTCGCGCCTGCTCCACCAGACCGTGACACATGGCTTCCACGCATTCCGGCCATTCCGGAGCTGGGCCTCCAAGATCGGAGAGATCCACTTGGTCTTGGGCTCCTGCAAACTGCACAAAGCCTGCTGCGCTGTGGCTAAGAGGGCTAGATTGCTGCTAGATTCGGAGTCATTCTTCACACAAGGCCTGATCGGGATGGCAGCTCTGGAATAGAGGTGGCGTAGCATGTGGGGCCGCAACGGCAACCAGACAGGCATCCCGAAAACATGCTGGCCGCAGAAACTCGGGCGATGCCACCTTCCCACCCGCTCCTGCATGCCGGCCTGTGGCGGAGGAGTCTGCTTTGTTTCCTGGTCTTTCAGCTGCCTGGTCAATGTAAACCAAGTAAACGGCAGGAAGTGGCGGGGTTCCAAACGCCTCAAGGGCTGCCGTGTCTGCTTGGTCTGCGCGTTGTCGTGCCAGCCGTCGACCTCGCGGGATCCGGTGACCGGGCTTGGCCAGCTTGGTCCTCACTGCCAGGTTCCAAACGGGGATCTCGGGCAGTCCTTGGTCACCTGGCGACAGTGTCAGCTTCCCTCAACAAAAAGTGGACCTGCAAACAAGGCTTCTTTTTGTAAGGCGGCGACGCCGCTCCCTCCTCCGCGTCTTCACTTCCCGTGCCGCCCGTGCCTGGGGGAAAAATCGGAGACCCCGCATGGGGCCCTGTTAACTGGCACGGACGGCGGTGAAACACCGGGGCGCGCTCCGGCATAACTTCCTTCTTCGCGCCCTGCTGGGGCAGCACCAAGCTGACCTTCCGGAAGAAGATGCAAAAACCATAGAGAAAGGTGTGCGGCGACGGTGCTGCTACCTAGTGCTGCCAGCAAGGGCAGGGTGCAGCCGAGCAGCATCCATGTCGGGGAAAACCTGGAAGCTCCGCTGTGCAAGTTCCAAGGGCAAACAGATCAGGAACCTTGTCGTGGAAGACATCCAGCTGAATAGGTGTGAGTACGGGGGCCCGCCATTTCTCAGCCTTACAGGGCAAGCTGCCGAAACAGCAAAGCTGGTCGTAGCCTTTTGCCGAGCTGCGGTGGATGCCAGCACCTGCCGCAAAACCGGAGCAAAAGCCGCTGTCGGGCTTTTGGGCACTTGCACCTCAAAGTCCCGGTCAGCACCCAGGAGCTCGTCAGCCTCATTTAAGGAAATGACATGGTCCGAGTCCTGCCACCCTGGCTGGGAACCCGGGCCTTGTCATGCTCAGGTGGCTTCAGCCAAAGCCTGTCGCTTCGGAAGACACAAGTAGAACTGCAAACCCTGCGGCCCTGCGACACAGAAACCTCTCCAGGTCCAGGTCTCCGGAGCATGCGTGGGCATGGGGATTGGGCGACGAAAAAGCGGCTGGGGCGCGAACTCTTCGGCTTCGTGCACATCCTTCTCCTTACAGGCGGGCTCAAGCTGCGCTGAGGGCATCAAACGGACTCGAGCTGGGGAGTTTCCGAGGCGGGTGCGTAGTGGAACATGTCAGGGAAAAGTGCCTGGTGCTCCTCCATCCTTCCCAGAAACAGGAAAAAAGTGAGGATGAGGGCGGAGAGGGCGCTGCGGGCCTTGGCTCCTCTTTGGTCGGAGGCGCTGGAAGGGAGCGCAGTGCTTGGGGAGCACGAGGGACGGGTTTGAAGGCCTCCCAACCTAACCGAGCAGACTGAGTCACTGCAGTCTGCTTTGAACGGTAGGCAGAGTGCGCGGCCGGCGGTCAAAGGGGGAAGCACGAGGTCCCCGGCCACCATCGAGCCCGGAGGTGGCTCACCGAATGGAACTGGGCTCTCCGATTTTTCTGCAGAATATGGCAGAAAATGAGACGAAGTACACGAGTTCTGCACCGAGGCTTGGGCTCTGAGGTCCGAAGTGAATCGGTGCAATCAGCGCCGGACCTCACAAAAAAGGGCTCCAAGACTACTTCGGAAGGCCCCGGCCCCGCGTGTCTTGCTGGATCTCTGAGCCTCCGTAGCTTCCAGCAGTGGGCCCCGCGAGGGCGCTTGGCGGCGCCGGGGGAGCTTCAGGCATGGCCTCTGCCCAACGAGGCTCAAGCGCCCCGTGGCTGACTCCCATTCGTCTCGCCTTCGGTGCGGTGCCTGGCTGCGGCACTTCGGTGGAGACCTGGACCACACATGGGCATGCCCTCCGTGTAGCTTGGTCTTCAGCTGTGGGTGCGGAAGACCATGGCCATGGACGTTTCTTGAATGTAGCCGTAGCTGTCACTGTGAACAGCCACGCCGTCAACCGCAACTTTTACTCAAAAGCGGCATTAGTCAGTCTCACAGCCTGCCTTTTCTTGAGGCATGCTCTGCCCCGGCAGCAACTGTGAGTGCAGGCGGGCATCAAGATCTCGGCGTCTCTCTGTCTGTCTGCTTGTGTTTCTGTGGGGAACGTGCTTTTGCTTGTTTGAGTGCGCAGCTGGCCTGAAGACACCAGTGTCAGCGAGACACCTCTCCATTATTTCCAGCTTGTCGCGCAGTGGCCGTGTCCAAAGAAGTGTCCACAGCTTTTGCGGATAGATGCCCTGGCATGCTTGCCGTGGCCTTCACAGGTGAACAAATCAGCAGATCCCGTCCTCTTCTGTGCCTTGTTGGAGCATGTGGAAGCCTTTCAGTATATTTCCAGATTAGATACCCAGAAGCCTGGGAAGTATGAGAACCGAGGTGAAGTATGAGAACCGAAGTGCAGCAAACAAACGTGTTAGCATAATTTTCAACGAGCAAGGCCACATCCTCCGAGAGATGAGCCCCCTTCAAGAGTTTGGCGTTTTGGGACATGCACAAAGCCCTTGCTCTGAGGATCAGTGTGCAAGCACCCTTCATCAGCTTCTCAGATGATCCCTGCCCGCCTTTGCCGGCTGGAAGAAGAAGGCATACTCCAGTTCACCGGGTCCTCCCACCAGCTTCTCGCGTCTCCTGAAGGCCCGAAAAGCCGGCTTCTCCACAACTCTGCGGCTATCTGAGTTGCTCGCTGCAGCCACTGGGCCGGAGGGACATTCCAAAGCGCGAGGCCTGTAAAGAGGAAGCCAAAACGGAAGCCAAGAGCTCGGCTGGCTCGGCTGAGGCCCAAACCCAGCGATCCCAGCACTTGGTTTGCTGGCACCGAGGAGTTCATCACCTGGATCACAGGCTGGATCACAGGCCCTTAGCCTCAGACTTCCGCGCCTTGAGCTCCAGCTCGCCGTCCTCCGCACCCACCGGGAAAGTAAACCTTGCTCAGGGCGAAGGATGGAGGGGAGTGGATTTGGAGTGGATAGCGGATCGAGGGAGTTACAGAGCGGGCAGACTGACCTCTCCCTTTTTTGAGCCCTTTGGCGCAAGATGCAAGCTCCTACCGGTCGTATACCCCCTTTCGGGCCCGCGTGTCTCATCGGGGTGCCTGCTATACTGACTGGTGGCGAAGGGAGTCCGCTGCAAAACACGTCACCTGACCTGTGTCCCGTACACGAGTTCCTCTGCGTTTCTTCCAAGCTTGACTTCCAGTTTATGCTCATATTCCACTTAGCCTACTTTCTCCTCCGCTCCCAGCTAGCTCTCTGGTCTGCCACCATTACGATACTGCACGCGAGAGGGAGGCAGGGTCCCCCATTTTCCCTCATTAGAATATGTCTGCTCTCTTTTGCTGGGGCTGCAGCTCGTTGCTGCTTGGCCATACGGGACTCAAGGATCCCTCGGCGATGAGCGTCCTGGCTTCGCACCAACAAGATGATGGGCCAGGGGTCAAACGGGCAGCCCGGCTTCTGCATCGTCTTGCCAACGGATGCTTGCACAAAGACCGCAGGCCTTCGAGACACATTCCACCAGTTTCGGCTCAATGTGAGTTTGGAACTGAGACTACCACAGGACATTTCGATCCTCGGAAGAGACATGCAAACCAAAGCAAGCCAGTGGGCCGACACTGAGTGCGATGCTCGGAGTTGGAGATTGAAGGCTCCCAGCACGCGAAGCTGCAACCGCCCGACCTTGGCGACCCCCTCAAATCGTGCAAGCGGTACGGTTCCAGCCGGCCACGCAATGGCACCCGTTAGATCCTGTTTTGCTGTACACGTCGGGGGCCAAGACCGTCGGGGAAAATGGCCTTAAGCCTGGGCTCAAAACCCAGGGTAGGGAGTCTTTGCTACCCAATCCGCGAGCCCCTCGGCACTGCTCACTCGGCTACTCTTTATCGATGGTGCTGCCCTTGCTCTTGCTCTTGGCCTCAGGGTCGTAGTCCCGAGTTTCTGCGATCGCGTCCTGCAGCGCCGTAGTCCAGGCGATCGCATCCTCATGAGATGCGGCCCTGAGAGTCAGGGAGTAGTTCACCTCGGGTCTTACATGGCATCTGGCCACATGACTGCTGAAATTTTTCGGTCTGGTTCTGTGCAGAGTGTCGGTGCTCACCACGAAATGCCTCTCTGGCGTGTCCACGGAGCATCTTCGGCAATACTCGTCGATGTATGCGTCCGATATCCAGGAGAGGTGGACCCGGCCGCACGTGAGCCTGCAGCGAGAAAACTGAACGTCAGCCGCCTCGGGCCTGTCGAGCCCTGGACTCGATCCCGGTCCGTTTCACGAGGCCCGCTCCTGCGTAGAAACGCCTCCTGTGACCCTTGCTTGGAGCCAGCCGAAGCGGAAGGAACTTGTAACTCCTGGATCATCCACTCCACCTCAGCGCTCAGCTGCCAGGTGTCTGTGGCGAAGGGACTTGTGCCTCTTTGTGAAAAGGCTCCCTCTGCTGGTCCTCGTCGTGACTCCTTAGCGTTTTAGCGCACTACATCCGCAGTGAGACGGCGAATCATGCGAAGCACCAAGCTGCGGATCCGCATGCTCCTTCTCGCTTTCCTGCCATCGCATGTCCAGCTCCGTCAACCTTAGAAACAAGCACAAACTCGCGGCAGAAAAACACGGAGGGAGGGAGAGCCAAGCCGGGTTCCCGGGCACCATCCACCGAGCCACGCCGGTGACTTCCCAAGGAGCCGCCTGCCAGGCACCAGGGCGCCCCCTTTTTTTGTGGGGGCGTACGGCCAGCGCCTCGGCCGTCTGCCCGTCCGGCCCCACAAAGCTGAGATCGCTCAGCTCCAACATGCCTCACAGAAGCGCATGCTCTCCGCACACAGTCGGCGACGGATGCCGCTGCCTTGGCGCCGAATTTGGGGAGTCTTGTCCGCGAGGAAGTTGCGGGAGTTCAGCATGTCCTTGATTGGCGGCTTCTCAAATGACACGCCGCCCCGCGGCCGTGCTGGATTCTGCCAAGCATCCGCCCACTTCACGGGGACTCGTTGCAGGACCTCCTTGTGCCAAAGCATGCCGTCATTCTCACAGCTGAAGGCCACGGGCGGCAGGTCTGCCTTGCGCGAAGAGAAGTCCCCAAAACCCCGGTCACGGCCACGGCCCCCCGAACTTCGGCCCTGGGATGCCTCCGCGGCCTCCGAAGCGGACTCCGTCTTGGCCACGTCTTTCAGGCGTTCCTCCAAGTGAAGCTGAAGCCAGGTCTCCGTGTCCCGGTAGCCGAGCTCGTAAAGGTGCTGCAAAAGCGTTCGAGGCGGCGGGAAGACCCCGAAGGAGCCGGGCACAAACTCGGAGGGCCCTATATCCGCTCGTTGCCCCGTCAGTTTCAATACGTCCACTCCTGCGCAGAAGGGCTTCACCGTAATCGAATTCTCATCCAAAGTGGGCAGGAAGTTTTTGAAGGCGCCGTCGGCGACCTGCCGTTCCTCGCCATCCTCGTCGTGGAATGTGAATGGGAGCCCAGAGATCCCGCAGGTGGAGGATGCCTCTGCAGTGACCGAGGCAGAGACACCTACAGTGACACCTAGGGACAGCGTTATACAGTGTTATACAGTAACAGTGTAGCAACTGCAACTGATTCAGCAAGGACACCAGCAAGGCCACAGCCACGTCGGCCGTGCTGCTGAAATTCTTGAGCCGATGCTCCCGGCCGTTCAACATCATGTTGATGAAGCGGCCGGGGCCCTTGTTCTGGGTAGAGGACACCCCAATCTCCAGACGACGGGACTCAAAGACTGGATGTTGAAAGGAACCTGAGAGGAAAACGTAATTGCCAAGTTCAATCAAGGCTAATTTCTACTTTCGCTCTCAAGCGTGCTGAACAAGCAAAAGCCCGAGGAGCCATCTTGCAGGATCTCCTGCATCGCCTTGAGCACGAACTTCCGGAGCAAGAAGGCTTTCTCGGGCCGAGCGTGGAGGATCTGCGCAGACTGCAGGAGTACCTCCAAGGGCTTCCGGGGGTCGGCGCCGTACATCATGATGCAGGCGGCCAGAGCACCGCCGGAGGCTCCGGATACGCGCGCATAGGGGTTCTTGGCGATGCCTTACCATGGCAGTTCAACCCAACCGGCAGCTCAAAGAGGGAGGATCGAAAAGAGAGAGAGGAAGGAGCAGCGGAGTAGCTAGGGTGCAGGTTGGGTGGCCGTGATTCTGCAGGCACTCGGCCACACCAAGCTGATAGATCACCAGCCACCCCGACGCAGAGAATGAAAAGCTGAGACCCTTGAGGTTGGCAAGTTTGTCACTCGTCTCCCGGGTCGGCAAGGACAGCGTTTCCAGACTCAAGGAGGCAGTGTCTGCGGCAGTGGCGCCGTCGCTTCTCTTCACGATGTAGGATCCGCCGCGCACGACGTGAGCACGCAGCTTCTCGTTCACGGAAAGGTGGAAGTCAAAGTTCCAAGACTCGCCCGGATCGAAAGTGAGGCTCTCCCCTGCCCACGTCTACGCTTTCACGATCTGTCGCGTTTTCGCGCGGAACCCGTGCCGCGCCTGCCGGCAACTCTAGCACCTGCAAGGAGCCGCCCAGGAGGTTTGGCTCGGCAAAGCGAACCTGTGCGGGACCGACACACATGGTCAGGAGAAATCCGAAGCCCAAGCCAAAGCACATATGAGAGCCTCTGTGAATGGACGGACAAGAAGAGGCAACAGGTGACACCACGTGCACTTCGGAATTGTCCACTTAACTGTTAAGGGCCGCCGTGAAGAAAGTGAAACGACCAGTCCGGCCCAATTTTGAGAGGCTTGAAATGCTCCGGGGGTCAAGGAGACTAGGCACGTCTGGATCGCTCCACCTTGCAACAGCATCTTTGACTCTCTCACCCTGCCTGCCCACTTTACCTTTAAGGGTGCCGTGAGGAAAAGGAGACAAAACGACCAGTCCAGCGCAACGCTGAGAGGCTTGCAATGCTCCCGCCACCTTTCAACAGCAACTTACCGCTCTCACCCTGCCTGCTTCAACTGTAAGGGTCGCCGGCGAGGAAAGATAAACGGCCAGTCCGACACATGCTGAGATGCTTGAAATGATCCATCAACAAAACTGCAGTAGGCACGTCTGTGTCGTCCGACCTTGCAACAGTATCCTTAGCTCTCTAAGCTGCCCCATCCTGATTTGCGATATTTCCTCGTCGCAATATCAACAGCACCAGAAGCTGCACACACAGAGAAAGGGAGGTGTTGGGCCGTGTCGAGCAGACATGCTATAGGACTTCTAGGACGTCCCGTCTGCGCCAGGTCTCTCTCTGCTTTCACCTCTTCAAGTAAGATCTACATCAGGCCTGCAGGTCGTCCTTTGTATGGTTCTGCAGCTGGACGCCGCCGTGATGGCAGCGCCGAAGGTCATGAACTCCGGCGTGCTTGCGCAGGCCAGTCACAGGCTTCACAGGCTTGGCCGGCGCAAGGCCGTTGGAGCTGGAACAGCCCATCCATGCCCATCCAAAAGTATCTGACCTTGCCTACGTAGCACTGATCTAGTGCTGGCTCTGGCTCTCTTTAGCTGCATGTTCTACTCTAGTCATCTAGTCTCTGGCTCCTGTGAGGGTTGGTAGCTGCCTTGGATGGCTTGCTATTTTTCCAGCTGCCACGCTATGCTGGCTTATGTGGGTACCTGTGCGCGCAAGCAGACAAGGGCAGGACGCAGTCAGGCAGTCACGGTTGCAGAAGCGGCGGCCGGGTGCTCCACCACACGGCTTCCGGCAGGCAGGTTGCCGCCCATGTGGCGACTGGCCTCCGGTGGCAAGAGCGCTTAAATCTCAAGCCCCTTATGAGGGAGCCACTCCGAGGCTCCGAGCCTTCACTGCCTCCAGAACTTGCAGCTCCACGCCGCAGTCTGCGGAGCCACCAGCAGCGTCCTGGCGAGGACGCCGTGCTCAATGCTGGCGTGCAGCAGAGAGCAGCTACGAGTACCAGTAGGGCCCCGGCGGTCAAGAGGTACTGAGACATCTTCTCAGATCGCGGGTCCGGACGATAAATCTGGCAAGACCTGAAGCAGTGATTCCACGGGCTCTCCTTCTGCCTGCTTTGTTAGGGCCGGCCCAATCAGCAGGCCATCGGAAAACTCCACCCGCAGAGTCAGCAGCGGCGACTCCTCTCCGTCCGACTCTCTCTCGCTGCTCTGCTCACTCTGCTCCGCTGCGCCCCTCTCTGCTCTCTGCTTCTGCAGGTTGTAACCGGCTCCGTGCGCAGCGCCAGGTCCCCCTCAGGCCCCAGGTGGACGGTGCTGGCTGCGGCGCTGGCCTCTGAGGGCACCTTGCGCCCGAAAACACAGTCACAGGCTGCAGGCTCCTCCCCCCGCGCTGTTTCCTGGCACTTCGACCTCCGGAGTGGCTGCGAGTTGGCCGAGAGAGTCCAGAACCCTCACCTGACGGTGCAGAGAGAACCCCACTGCAGCCAATAAAGCCTCACTAGGAGTAATTTCCAGGAGCCCCTGCCACGTAGTTCTTCTGCGGGCGGCTGGGCACGTCCAAGAGCCGAGACACCTCCGAGTCCGAGACGTCTCGGAAAGTGACGGCTCAGCGGATTATTGTACGAGTAGTGGCGTTTCTTAGCCTTCACGGCCACTTCTCGACCAAGTGCCGGCATTCCCGGTGTGGGCAGTGGGGGCGGCGGGGGAACGCCGCTCCGGGCCAGCGGTGGTGGGTCTCAGTCTGCAAACGTGGCTTTGGCGGCTCTGGAAGTCTGAGCCGTCTGAGCCAGCAGCCGAAGGAGATGTCCTGCGAGGTGGGCTCCTCGGGAAACTCGATGAAAAGCTGCTCTCACTTGCTGCACTCTCTCGACAGACTCGACAGTCCGCTGAGGTCTTGGCCCTCCTGGGCTGGGACTGGGACTGTCCTGCCCCGGGCGGGAAGTCTGCCGGCGGGCCTTCCGGAAACGAAACATCGGCGAATCGGTGACACACATGATCGTGTCTGCGTGCGAGCGACTCGTCAGCGACTGCGACTTCTCGGGGCCTCTGGGAGAGCTGGAGCTTGAAGCCGCTGCCTTTTCCGGGAGCGTCGTCTTCTCGAGCTCCTGGCGGAGCAACCAGAGAGCGTATAGAAAAAAGGACTTTGAGGCTGCCAGTAGGCAAGGCTGGAACGGCTAGAAGCGAGGCTTCCTGGGCCCCTTCGAAGATGGTCAGCTCCACCTCAGAAGGAATCCACCTCTCAGAGCCTCTCACCCATTTTTCTCTGCTTCTCTCGGAGCTCTTCCATCTCGGCCCCGCGGCCCCGCAGATTGGCACGTCGCTTCCTTCGTTCTCCCAGCAGCTGTACGTGTTCGGCTTGGCGGAGCGGGGGTCCATCCTGAGGCTGAAACTCAGAAAGAACCTGACACCTGCCGCTGCCGAGGCCGCGCCTGCTCAAGGAGCACCGCGCAATTCGCCGGCCGTCTTCGTACTGGAGCTCAATCAGAATCCCCACGCTGCCTCGCAAGAACGCGCATGCGCATGCGCACGGGGCTTGCTGGGTGGGTTAGAAGCGTCCCAGTCTCAGAGGCCGGCGAGTGGCGAGCCTCAGCATCCCCTCCTCTGACAGGCTGAAGGTCTCCTCAGAACAAGGAGATTTTCAGGCAAAGCCCGGCAGAGAGGCAGGCAGAACGATCCCTCCCCCCCCCCGCCCCTTGTGTCCTTCTTCTCCTGGGCGGGCGCCTTGCCTCCAAGCCTGAGTCGCAGAGAGCCCATAGGTCTAGATTCTAGATGCCAAACTCAACTGAGACTCCCTGAATCGCTGGCTTTTCCAGTTTGCCCAAGACTTTCTCCTCGTCCGAGGCCAGCAAATTGTACCGCAAGGGCCGGCCATCGCGGAACTCCCGTGGCCTCAAAAAGCGAGTATCCATCTCGAAAGCTGCACTTACGCCCCATGTCGAGGCGGTAGCAGGTCAAGCAGCTTGCTGATGTGCACCTCAGCTGGATGACCCCAGTTTAAAGGCACAGTCTGAAATGGCTCACAGCCTCACTCGCCTGCACCTGGTCCGTGATCCAGCCGCTGTCCACCTGCCGTCAAAGACTCGCCACCCGGTGGCCGCAATGCATACACGTGACGGGGCCACCATCGTCTGCCAGTGAGCCATGGCTTCCGGACTCTCCTCGCCATCCGACGGCAGTCCTCCGCAGGGATCCCTGTTTTTTTAAAGGGCAAAGGAAGAAAAGGGCGGCTCCTGACAAGCTCCGCAGGTGCCCGGAGCCTGCGAAGCTGGGACCTGGGCCCTGGTTACTCCGCAGGGAGCCACCGGGCAGCGTCATGTTCGAAGCCATGCCGGAGGCCCCTGAAGCGAAGGGGCTCCCATGGGCACTGCCGCGGCCTGGGACGAAAAGGGGACTTCTGGAAGGCCACAGGAAGTCTTCAAGCTATTTCAAGCTTCAAGCTCTTGCTTGGAACTCAGGGCTGTGCCGGAGGAAAACATGGCTACAGAGGCCGAGCTCAGATCACGTCCATGCCGCTTCCATCACTCCCCCCATCCCGGCACCCACCTCTCTGCATGTCCTTGCGATTCAAGGTTCAGTTTCAGGTCCAGTTCGGCTCCAGATTTGAATTCCATGTGCCATCCTACCAATCGGCCCCGGAATATCCCGTCATCTTCAGAGGTCCAATGACACCAATGCCAAGATCATGCTCTTGGGCCTCCTGCTACACCTGAACGGCCAATAAATTGAGCGTGCCTGCATGCGCTCCTGCAGGCTGAGCACGGAGCCCGGCGAATCAGAGCAGCGAGTGCACTCCGGCTTTTCTTCGAGCAATGTCTTGGGTACTTTGCCCCAGTACTAAACGTGCTGCTCCCGCTGCGTGGCCGGCAAGCACAAACGCAAGCTGTGGATGATGGGGATTGTTCGTGGTACACGGATGGTGCGCACAGTCCGGGAACAGTCCAGGCAGCAGCTCTTCCACAGTTTGCTTGGATGCCGCGCTGGCTGCAGGAAGACTTTCATGCCTGAAACCTCGGCTACACATTGGGCCATCTGAAATTGTGTGAGTTGGTCGCTGCCTTGCCAGTGGTAGATACCCCGCGGCCGCTGCTCCACTTGTCCCATGCAGGTCAACTGAAGCAGGTTGGCGACAATGGAGGCCGCCTCCACCGCTCGGGTGGGGTAGCAGCGCTGCCAGTCTTCGAACTCGCGAACCCCTCGTCTCAGCTCCGATAGCAGGCCTCGGTTGGCCAAAAAAGCACTTTGGATCACCTTGAGCCTTGGACTTAACCGAAAGTCAAGACATCGCAGGCTGTCCCCAGCACCCGAACTGAGGAGAAGCACGACTCGCAGACTCCTCCAGCGACAGCACGGGGCCCCCCGGGCCATCCCAAAGCAGTGGCAGACGCAGCACCGCAGAAGCGCGGCTGCGGCTGAGCACCTCCTGCTCCGCGGCCAGGGTGCGCCATCCCAGCGGTGTGCAGGGCTTCGGCTCGGCATCCACGCTCTGAGCAGCAGCAGCAGCAGCAGCAGCAGGCTGGGTCCCGGTTTTGCCAAAGACGGCATCGGAGCTCAAGTGGAGGAGGAAGATCTGCCAGGCCGCGCAAGCTGTCGCCAGCGAAGCCAGGAAGGCCAAGACCTCACGGGACCGAGCATCCTTCTCGGCTGACTCTGAAGACTCGGACTCCAGCTCCAACAAGGCCGCAGAGGTGTGACAGTTCACGACGGCTTGCGGCTGGAATCGTTGTAGATGGCTCTGCAGCTCACCGCTGAGGCCCATGTCCAGAAGACTCCAAGCTGGCCCGATCGGGCTGCTGCACAAGCCCTGAACTTCCCAGCCTTTGGAAAGTTCTTGCAAAACCTCAGAGCCCAAATAGCTCGAGCCCAGGACGAGGACACGAGGCTTGGAGCCGGAGCGGGAGCTGTCAGAGCACAGGGAGTTTGGTGCCTGTGGCCGCAGTGCCAATGCCCCAGGCCGAGCGAAGCTGACATCGGCCAAAGGCCCCTCCACATCTTCGTCCCTCACCTGCACAAACAGGATGCAGTAGTTACGAAACGGGAAACGGGAAACTGTTAACTAACTCAACTCAGAGGCAGCCTCATCCCGCTCAAAGTTCCCCTCAGAAACCTGGACCTAGACCGCTCGCATTGCCGCTTTAAGCGGGTACGGCTGCGGCATCGGCTCCGGTGCCGATGCGTGATTGACTCTGAGATTGGGCTCTTCGGATCAAACGATCAAAGCACTGGCCAGTGCTCGGAGGCGACAAACGGGTAATTATGTCAATGTGCATATGTCAGTATGTCAGTATGTATGTATGTATGTATGTATGTATGTATGTATGCCGGTAGGCAACGGATGGATGGATGGATGGAGGGATGTCTGTGTTGTCAATGTGTGTATAAACCGATAGTAGGTAGGAAGGCAGGTGGTCGTACAGTCCACATACGTACGCAAGTATCTATGTCTACATGCATGCATACATACTGATCTGCACACTCAATCTTCGCGTGGACGTGGCTTACTCAACGTAACTTCTCTCGATTCCGTGGTCGGGTTGTGGTAAGTTTTTCATAGTTTTTCCCACTGATGGGGTATCACCGCATATGCGGGTCCGGGGCCTCCAGAGCAGATCGCAATGCTCCAGGAGACGGAGACGGCGTCAAGTCGCGCGAGAAGCCCTGCGGACCCTGCTGCACCATCTGCCTCTCCACCTGCAAACATCCACATTACCGGCTGCCACTCGACCGAACGCCTAGACATGTGCGAACAACGCTGTCATGAGGCCACTCTGGGCCCCGCCAAATAAGTTAGCCAGTTATGCAAGATTTGATTGCAAGACGTTCTTGCTATGTCTTCGGCTTGTACGTGTGTGCCTTGAGCTCAGTCGGCGTCGCCTCTAGGGAAAGAAGGACTAGCAGTACTCCAGGCGGCTGTGAGTCTTTAATGTAGCCTGATGATGCTCTGGCACAGATTTGTCAATCTAGACCCACAGAAGTCACCAAAGAAGCTCACACGGTTCTCACATGCACTGAATGGATGTGGGACGCTGAGACAACGCTGTTTCGTGCATGTGATCCTTCACTCAGTCAGCCCAACACACCTGGTGGCACAGACCGGTGATGCACCTAGGACTCGACCGACCGAAGAGCTATCTGAAGTGCAGAAACTCACGCCTCTGCGATGAGCAGGAAGAGCCGCCGCTTCAGTGCGCACCAATCCACCTGCCTGGAGCCCATGAGCTCCAACTGCCGGGAAATGCCACGAAGCTCCTCTTGCAGCTGGACAGCAGCGGAGTCCTCGGCGACTTTGGCCAAGTCCCTGGACGCTCTGCCGTAAAGCGAGGCACTGGGCCTGGGAGTCTTGATGGCCTCTTGGCTTGCGTCATCTGCGGTTCGCGGTGCTGGCGACGTCAAAAGCGTTGGCACCGGAAACACCACTGTTGCATGTCTCCGCGACAGCGGAGGAGCGATGCCGTCAGGCGTAGCGTGATCTGAGGGGAGGGAAGCATGGCTCAACCTACCAAGCCCCGCCGGCATCTGAGGCTCACCGTCAAGACGAAGCCATGTCACTCGGGCTCAATTCAAGCCGCATCGAATCTCGGGAAGACCATGCACGTAGCCGCGTTGGGAACGCCCTGGGCAGCAGCTAGCTGTGAAGGAGTACCATCCAATCTACAAAGGACCGCACCATGTGGAAGCGGCTGTGCTTTCAGTGTCAGCTGGGCTTCTATCACTGCACCCCTGGGCTGCTCGGGAACCACAGCACCGATCGAGAACGAAACCCCGAGCTTGTCACGAAGCGAAGCCCCTAAAACTCAGCTCTCTTTCTGTTTCTGCCGTGAGCCAAGCACTGCCACCACCCACCTCAAGGCATATCAGCGCATCAGCATCAAGTATACGATAAGCGTGTAGTTCGCGGTGACGGCATGACCCGTCCAGACGCGAGCGTTTGGGACAATCAACTCACTGAAAGGGTCTTTGGTGTGCAACAACCGCTACTCTCGGTGAAACTCCTCAGCAACGACATCCGGGTGTGCACGTGCTTTGGCTGAGGAAACATTTAGGAAGCGAAGGAGGAGCGCACCTACAGAGTCACAGCTCCACATGCCCCTCATGGGGCTGGAGGACTCGATCGCTGTCCTCGAAATCTCTAGGATCACAGGCGGCTGGATGCGTCATGGTCGCCTCATACACGCATTGGCTCGGCTCCCTCACGGTCTCAACAACATGCTTCTCTCCACCTCAGCTCACGTCCACATCTCTGCAAGCGACTTGCAAGGTGAAGGCTCACCAAAGCCGAGCGACACTCGAACTGCACCCGGAGGGAGCGCACGATGCCCGAGAAGCAGCGTTCTCCGTTGTCGAAAAGGCCTACATGCCGGGCGTCACTCGCCCAGCCCTTCCAACGGCCCAGCCGGACCTCAGAGATAGAATTGACATTGGGTGACGAGGACTCTTCAGAGGAGACTTGCAGCAAAGGCGCATGACCCTGTGTCGCCTCACCGAAGGGGCAAATCTTGTAGTTGTACTGACCCAGCTGGGCAGTGCCGCACTCGTTGAGGCTCTGGTAGGCCGCGTGGGCGCCCGCAGCCAACTCGATCTTTTCTCTCAGCTCCTGCCGCAGAGGTGCAGGGGGTGCAGGGGCGCACAGGCAGGCACACCAATCAGAGCTCCTGCATCGATGCCGCCTTGGCCGCGAGGCCACGTTCAGCTTCCTGCTTCCGGAGGAGCAGAGCAGAGCAGCAGAGCATGAGTCATGAGCAGAGCCAAAAGGTCGGAGCCGGAGCCTGCACGAGTCCCATGGCATCTTCGAGCTCCTTCTCCGCAGGCGTCAAGGGACGGAAAAGGGCTTCTTCCATGCCAGTGACTCGCCCGGCCAGACCGACCTCAAGCTCAGAGAGCTCACACAGAGCAGAGCAGAGCACCGCAGAGCTCTCAAACTGATCTAACGATGACTCAATCCGGAAGGCAGCGCGGCGAAGGCCGACGATCATCTTGCCATCGCTGGCCTCCCGATGACATGGGCCCTTCGAAAGCCCTCGTCAAACTGGCACGATTCACTTCACGATTGCCAGCTTGTGAACCGATTTGTTGGGGGCGGTTTGGCTCGGTGCAGGCGCCTTGAAGCTGAAAGCGTCGCCGCCACTACCGCCATAGGCATTGGACTCCCGGCCACGGCTGGTCACGAACTGGATCCGGTCCAAAAGTCCGCCCTGACCGCCCCGGATCTCCACCAAAACCTGCGACAAGCGTCTGTTTCATTCCTGTCGTTCGATGGGCAGGCGAACCTCCTTCTCTTCTCGAGGCCGCACAGTCTAGGAACGAGCCAATCCCTCACGAATCTCTTTCAGTGACTTACCTACGAGTAGGGCCTGGCAGGCCTCTGTATCAGACTTGCAGATGGGAGAGGGATATGCTTCGGGACTTGTCTTCTTTGGGGCCGGGGCCTCGCCAGGTTCCAGGTCGAAGGGCTCCTGCTCCTCGCCTTTCCCTTCTCCAACCACCTGTGGCTCGCCCGAGGCATAGACGAACTCCACGAAGTCCACGAGGGCTCCGCCTCAAGGCGAGCTTCTACGGAGCCTCGTTGCACACGGTGTCTTGTGCCTTCCACCTCCCAGAACTCCTGCTCCAGCCACAGTGTCGTTCGTGTGGTGTGGTGCAACAGCCACGGGGTGGTGGGCATTTTAGACTCGTGGAGGGTCTAGGGAAGCCTGGAATGGCTGCTGGGCTTCGAATGCTACGTACTACTACTAGTACTACTACTCCTCCTCCTGCTGCTTGTGCATATCCCTGCATCTATCTACAGAGTTTGCACATGGGGCGGTGAATCAATGAGCCTTGTGCACTGGAGAGGGGCTGTTGCTGAAGTAGCGGAAAAGCTCAGGCTGCCACTCTTCACCTTGATCTGGCGCAGATCCCTCCGAGCAACAGCGGCTCTCGAGATGCAAACCTTGTCGCTGCACACCTGGAGATTCCAGGCCAAGCCAAGGAGTGGGGAGGGGCTTCCTAGCTCCCAGGATGCCCTACGGCCCTACCTGCTCGGAGTTACTTGTGCCTGCCCCTTCAGAGACGGAGTCTCCTGCGCTGTGAGCAAGAGCGGCGAGTCTACTCACGGCAACATGCTGCGCCTTTCTCCATCCACTTGGCGTACTCCGAGACTTTCTTGCTCTCCTGATCCAGACTTGAATTGTGCAAGAGTCTCTTTTTGCTGCAAAAGAAGCTGCGTGGCAAGGAGGGCTCCGTTGGTTGTTGGTTCTGCTGCGTCTTAGGGGGCTGTCATCCGTGCATGAGCAGCCTTTCATGCTCCAATTTGATTCGCTTGCCTGCCAGACTGCCGCTCTTCCACTGATCCCTCCAAACATTGTAACATCGGCCAAGGGTCTGGGGCCAAGTCTGGCGCCACCTCCCGGCCAGCTTGCTCTGCCTAGTCAGGCAGCAATAGCTTCGTGCAGTGCTGATGGTCCTGCTCGCAACCAACTTATCGATTTTTGGCCACGGCCTCCGGCCTCCTTGACCACGGCAGCTCGCTTTTGCCGCTGGATCTCCTGACGTGCCTGCAGGCTCTTTAAAAGCTCGGCTTCTTCCTCTTCCAGGACCGCCAGCTTGCCAGTCCACTCCTTCACCTCGGTCACAGCTGTGACAGCGAGGGCAGAGAGACAGAGAGGCCGAAGCGAGACGCCCCGTGCGCCAGTCGCCGGCCTCCGCCTCTGCGTCGGCCAAGGCGGCTTGGCGCTTTCGGATGCCCCGCTCCATCTCGGCGCGGCGCTGCTCCAGGCGAGCCTCCACGGAGAAAGCAGTCACACGCGGCTGCGAGGCTGCGAGGCTGCGCTGCCTTCCTGGCTCGGCCCTGCTCTTCGCAGAGGTCTTGACCTGGGCTGGTCTTGTCGCATAGTCTGGAATGCGCTTCGGGCAACGTTTGGCCCAGGGGCAGGTTCCGGGCAACTGCCACTCGTCGGAGCCATCGCAACAGTCGCAAATCCCATCGCCGACGCCTGAGCTCTGCAAGCGTGCGCAATCGCTCCGCAGCACGACGCTGCCTGTGACAGAGCCTTGCCAGACGAGCGTCGAGAGCTGTACACATATCTCGGGGTGCCGGCCGAATTCGGGCAGTAGAACCACCTGTCCGTCGCGGCGCCGTCGCGCACATGTCTTTTCTAGCCATGCAAGCTTTCTGAATAAGAAGCCTTTCGTCTGCGCCAGGCCGACCCGCACAGGCAGCGGTTCCGGGTTCGTCGCTTCCGTCCTTGCAGGGTTTCGCATTGGCCCAGTGCCAAAGTCCCGGAAAACTCCTCGCAATCGCAGAAGTCGTCGTTGATAGACGTGGCAGGCAGAGGCAGCTCCGTGGCCCTTAAGTCCAGCAGCAAATTCGGGCCCGGACCCGGAGGGGTTAGTTCTGGAAGCGAGCAGGAAGTCACAAGTCGGAGAATGGATGCCTTCTGCTCCGTTGATCTAAACAGGGGGCTCTCTTCGAAGCAAAAGCAAGCTATGCAAAGGCTACCGAAATGAAGGAGGTTGGCGAGGTTGTGCAGGTGCGCCTTCGTCCGGTGTCTCTTTCTCAAGCCACAACCGAATCTTGCAGCCTCTTCGCAAAACCCCTAGGCCCTAAGCCGGCCCCAGTATTCCAAAAGACTTCCACAGACCTTGCGTGGCCGAGGAGCCCCTCGGCACACGCAAAGGTGTCCCCGTGATACCTGGGAGCCTCCGCCGGATTGACCTGGGAAAAAGGGGGAAAAAATGCGCTGTCGGCTTTTCTGCGTGGCCAAACGAGCAAAGAGGCTCCTCGCGTGAGGGCCTCCGAGGGTTTTAGGAGACCCAGGGGGCTGAGAAGGGCCAGCCGCCACCAGTCTCGCATGGCTCCAAAGAGTTGGGCCGTTGGGCCTACACGCTCTACGCAAAGGCTGTGCTTGCTGAACCCTGCCGCAGCATCTCCGCTCAACCTAGGACCTGCAGGACCTAGGATCAAGAGCAAATACGCCTACCCGGGCTCAAGGCCTTGGAGGGCTCAAAGCCGAGAGGCTGCAGAATGCCATGGGCAGCAGGCATGCCGTGCAGCGTGAAAACTCCACTTACTTCTGCTTAGCTGCCTTAGCTCGTCTTCTTCTAAAAAGCGTGGGCTTCTTTTTTCGAGAAGGTCTCTGCGGCTTCTGAAGGCAAGTCCTCCAAAGCCAGGGCTGGACCTCACGAGGTCCCAAGCGGTGAGTCGCTTGCTGGGCTTGCTGGGCTTGGCATGGCTGCTCGCGAATCTCAGGCCACTTCTGGGCCGAAGCTCGACTAAGGGACGAGCGCTCACAAGCCCCCCCCATTTTGGGGAGTGCAGGGCCCCCTCGAAAACCCCCAGAGCCGGCATGCGCTAGACCTTAGTCCGCACAAAAACCCAAAAAAACATGCGCCAGGGAAGGAAGACAAGCATGAACAAGACCAGCTCATGAACACTTCCGAGTCTGAGGTGCGCCCCAGGATGCCATCCTGTTGGGGGGTACATGCAAAGCACAGTCGCAACGGCGGGGGGACAGAGGGGTGGGAGACCGGGCTAGAGCGGCTAGACTCTGCTGTCTTCCATCGATTTCAATTTCTCTGTGGAAGCCTTGACTGTCCAAACGCCGGAAGCGGCTTTCGGTTGCCGAGGTCGATCTCAAAGCGGTACCAAAGAGCTCCCAGCAGCGTAATCAAGATCCCAAAAGCATTCAGAGGAGTGATCCTGGTTCCAAACCTGGCTCCAAAGTGAGGATGCTACAATCGGCGGAAGCGGCTTACAGGCACATCCCTTTGCCAGTCGAAGGGACGTGATGATCGAGGCGAGTACCAGCAGCGGTCTTCGCATGGACCGAACCTGGACGAAGACGTGATGGGACATGCCCCGGATGGCTGCAAGACTGTGTCAGGTGATGTCAGCTGAGAAGATGAGATCGATGCCATCGAGTGCACCACGGTGGAGGTGTGGACCAGGATGATGATTGAAGCCACGTTGAAGATCCAAACCTCACGTAATCTATATGAGCATGCTTCATGGATGGCCACCTACGCCGAACACCAGATCTGGCAAGCCCACCAAAGGCCCGATTGTGGCCGCCAGCGGCCACGCCATAGAATCTTCAGCGAGCTCGCCCACAGCATGCACGTTGTAGAGCAAAGCAGCTGGCAGCGACACCTTGCGATCCACACCACATGAACTTGACTAGATGCCAAGTCAGACTGCTTGAATTAAGCAGGATGGGCTTTTTGCAACTCCGGTGCCAGGCAGGCAGACAGTTGAAGGTGCGCCATGAAGTTGAGAGGATCCATGACATGAGTGTCCATCGTCTTCTTGGTCAAGACCGTCCTTTCGCAAGCGAAATTCACTGCGCGCGTCCCCACCCATCCCGGAAATGCCCAGCAGGCCTCAGCGAAACACAGAGGTTGGAGACCATGGCTGCCCAGAACCCGGTCCAGGTGAACCTTGACGCGAACGCCGCGAACGTTGAAGCCTACCAAGCTACCGACCAGCGGTCATCAACCTGGGTCTTGTCGCAGCGCTGCATAACCGCGGGCTGCGAAGCGAGATCTCGGCCGTGGATGCTACTACGATGCCGGCGATCACCAAGAGAAGGCTTGCCCAGGCACCTGCTTCGCAGCGCAAGCCAACAGGACGTCGCCTTCCAACAACGAAGCCGGCTAAGCGATCCAAGGCACGTAGCGAAGGCCATGTCCCAATGAGCAGTGCAGTGAAAAGAGCGGTGAAAAACGGCTCCGCCGCCTGGGGGCTAAACGAAGCTTTGCCCTACAAATCCCGTGCTTGAGAAGTCTGAGTCTGCTGGCATGACAGTCAGCCAATTGAAACTAAATGCCGCCAACCGTGGTGGGAGCTCGACTCTTGAAAATCTTTGAAGGAGGGATCACTCCTCTCACCCGTCGTAAAAGGCCTCTGGGATAGGAAGAGAAGAAAGCGGATATCGGATAGCAGAAAGAGAAAAGGTTACGGTGGTGTCTGCAGGCATCCTCACGGCAAGGCCATCGGAAAAGGCAAGCACCAGATGTACAACAAAGAAGACCCTGCAAAGCTACTGAAGATGAGCCAAACTTGAACGGTTTGGTGTTTCTAGATGCAGGCTGTCAGAGACCGCCACACGACCCTGGACACCCCCTGCCCTCACTGCACATTGCCTTCACGGTGTGCGTGAACGAAATGTGGACTTCGGAAACGGAGACGTTGGAGAAGAGCATCCCTCCCCAATGGAAAATCGCGAGCCCGAACAAGCGCCTTGGCTGCTCAACATTCTGACCACCACCTGTTACCACCCACAAGATCTTGAAACAACATGTAGCCCGCATGAAAAGAAGATGCCGCCGCACTTTCAGAGGATGCCACAGCAGGACAAGGTGCAGGTAGAAGTCCAAACTCATCCGTCCAGGCCAGCTTATCAGCCCAAAGACCCAACAAAGGATTGCACAAAACGATGAAGAGGCCAGGTTCACGCCGGTGATCTCAGGCTCCCGAGCTTGTGCCAAGCAATCAAACGTCTCCGCCACAGTGCATTCCAAGCCGCAAGCAAAGGATGCGGATGCGCGATGAGCAAGCGCTTGTTGATCACATTATAGGCGATGTTGGCACCGTAAAGCCTCGAGTACATCAAAAAAACTGTCGCTTCAAAGTTTCAAAAAAAAGGCCGCCGCAGAAAGCTTTCATCTCGCCCAGTAGCCCGGCAGCCAGCAGAGCTCCGCTCTGTGGGCTGGGCGGGTTCGGCACGTGCTCCTTCCAAGTGCAGCCGAAAGCAGCTACGGCAGCTACGGGAGCACGGAACTGTCGTGGTGCATTTGTGCTGTCTTGTGGCATCTCCTCGACCTCATGCGGGACGCAGAGCCATCGCTGCTGAGAGTAGGAAACCTGGGCTAAGTCAGAAAGCGCCGTATGCATGATTCTGCATGGGCTCGCATGAGCAGCTGAGATGCTGCATATCCGACTGTTGCGAAGATGACCATGATTGAACAGTCCTCAGCCCCGGAAAGCATTTCCAGTCAACAAAGTCTAGATACATGGAAGGCACCAACGATTGCAACGGGCCAAATACGCATGTTGCGCTGTCAAGGATCATGCCAGAGCATGCTCCAGCTGATCATGTTTGTTCGAGGGCTGCCCGCAGAGAGGGCGATGCCACGGTACGACTTAGGAAACATCAGCGAGAAGGCGTCTGGACCATCTGGGTCAGGGTCTTCCAACTCTCCCATCCAACTGGAGAGGCGGAGGTGGCAAATGTAGAAGAACGCGACCTTCGCAAGACATCCGCTCTCTTTCTCTCAGGCCTCTGACAGTGTGCCGATGGGGTGCCAGGCACAGCGCTGTTGGCGTCTTGCCCCGCGATCTTCGCAGCATGCCCTGTGCCCTCAGCAGGAGCCTTTCGGCCCCACTCACGCCATTCGGGCAAAGAGCAGCCTATCGGCTCCTGTGTCGAGCCCAACCTGAAGCTTCTGGATTCAACAACGCCGTTTCAACTTCGCCTGGAGCTAATAGGTTTTTTTCGCGGCCTCGCAACTCAGGTGCCGCGCAGGGTGACACTGGGCCTTGGGGCCCCTCTTGGACAGGTCGCAAAGCCCTGCGTTAGCGGGCCATCGACCCTGCGCCTGTACAAAGAGATCTCCTTTAACCCTTCCTCCCGTCGAGCACGCGTGTGCAGGACCTAGCTTGGCTTCTCACAGCACTCCTGGTCCGTGCTGCCCAAGAGCTGCGCTGCGTCTTCCTGATTGCACAAGCTCTGGTCTGAACTGAGTCTCGCAGAGAACTGGTGTACTGGCACACTGGCGCTTGTCTCGGTGCCTTCAGTTGCAAGACCTTTTCCTTACAGCAATAGTCGCTGCACTTGAGCTCATCGTAGCACTCGGCTTCCGTGCTTCCAAGCCTGGCCCGGAATCGATTTATGGGTGCTGCAGAGCTTTCTTTCAGGCGCCTCGGCTTTCCTTGGAGGTCTTCGGGCTTTCGCCGGTACTTGCTGGGGAACTCTGTTGTGTACCTGGGGGACAGGCGGCACAAGGCGTTACAGTTGTTCATGGGGGTGGGCGTTCATGCCAAGATGCTCGCTGCAATACTTGGGGTGGCAGCACTCCTCGTCCGTACTTCCCCGGAACTTGAAATGATTCGTATCGACCTTCTTGTACCACTTGGTGCTGGTAACATTCCTAAGGGCACAGATTGAGAACATCCGCTTTACTGACGAAGCTCAAGTGCGACAGGTGGCTGTGCAGGAATGTCTCCCGTGCATGTGTAGTCTTTGCACCACCTGGGGTTGCAGCACCTGGCAGCTTCATATTTCAACACTCGGGCAGCACTCGGGCAACACTCCGCATCTGCAGCCACGCAGCTGCTTGCTGGTGCTGCCCAGGAGACCCTCCAACTCTTCTGCCGATTCTGGGCGTGAGCGGCATGAGTGCACTTGAGTGCACTTGCAGCAGCCCTTGCAGCAGCCCTTGCAGCCGTATCAGCCGTTCTGGACTTCGGGCCGAGGTGCTCGGGGCCCAAAGCGATTCTGGCACGCAGTCGATGGTGCTGCACATCAAAGGCGTGCAGCACTCCTTTGCAGCAAAACTTGAAGATGCGAAGCGTGCGAAGCGTCAGACGCCGGTCGGCTCCCGTCCTCGTCGCTCCATCCATGCCTTTCCACGCCAAGGCTGCTCTCGTCAGCCTGCTGCACCCATTTCGTCGGGTCGCTGCCTTAGCCGAAGCATTCACAGCAAACGCCCAAACCACACCCCAACAACCTCTTGTGCGTAACATCAGGTAAAGACACACTTCCAGTCGTGGCAAGACTTCTTCTCGCAGCACTCGTTGTGGGTGCTTCCTAATAGGCCTTGTCCTCCAATCACGGCGCCAGCCCTCGGCTCTTTTTCGGCCACATCCCAAACAGACACTTACCAAGACACCCTAAGCTAAAGCTCTGTGTGTGTGCTTTGCTGCATGCGTTCGGCTGCCTGAAGAAAATCATGGTTCATGAAAGAAGCTGCTAAGGCCTTTCGAAGCCTGGGACGCATCTCTTGTTCAATTCCACAGCGGCTTCTCCACCCTTTGGCTCGCTTGGCTGGGCATGACAAGGCTCCGGAGCTCGAAGCCGGCGTCGCACTTGAACTCCTTGCACATCTTGGGCGTGCAGCAGCTTGGGTTGCCTCAGCTGCCCAAGGACATCGAAGGCCAAAGCTCCACTTGCCGGCACCCTCTCCAAGAGAAACCTCAGCTGATCCTGAAGCGCAAACGATCCACCAGACCCCCTTTCCCTTTCAACCGACAACTGATGTGTAGCACGGCTGCTGCTGCCCAGGATTGCTTTGGGCTTTGGCTCCCATTTCGTCGCAGGTTCGCAGCTGTGATGCTTGCAGAATTGGGGGATGCAGCAGTCCTGCGCAGCCCTTACAAGAGAGATGCATGAAGCAGCTGTGTGTCTGTGTGTGTGCTTTCACTCATGTAGGGTTGAACGAAACGAAGCTTTTGCAATCATCAACTCCAACCAAGCCAACAAGGGTGAATGCTAGGAGGCTATGCTCAGGCTCCTCCAGGCTTGCACCAACCTTGGCGCTTTCGTTGGTCTTCCACTCGTCCGTGGCCTCGCAGTCGATGTGCTTGCCTTTGGACTCTGAAACAAAAGGTTGTCAACGTCAAGAGCATGCCGGCGGAGATTGCCAGGTGTGTGTGTGTGTGTCACGCTCAACGCGGTTGTAGGTCTGTTAGGTGCCACAGAAAATTTATGCTGCCGATGCCAGGTCTCATGAGATTGGCTCACAACACTCGCTGTCGGTGCTCCCCTGCAGCAAGAGCGGAGAACCATCCTGGCCATGCCTCTCACGGGATGCACGCAGTGGCGGCCATGCCATGCCATGCCGTTGCTACAACTTCTCGCTGTCAGATTGCCTCTTCGATTTCTTCACGTACTTGGCGGAGCACTTGTAATCGTCGCAATCTCGAGGGGTGCAGCACTTCTCTTTGGTGCTTCCCAAGACATTGCCCGGTTTGGGCTCCCAAAGAGTGGAGTCGCACAGGTCTTTGGAGCAAACCTTGGGGACGCAGCACTGGTCAGGTCTCAGTCAATGACAAGAAGGAAGACCGACTCTGTCTCACTCTCTCTTTCTGCGGGACTAAGGAAGGGTTCCCCCCCACCCCCACTTGAGCTCTCTTTCTTTCTCAAGGGTTGAGGGAGAGGGGACAGCGCCCCTCACCCGCGCGCGTCAGCGCCCCCGCCTGTTGCGGAGAGGCTTAGCAGATGGCACTTTCACCACCAAGGCAACTCGCGGAAGATAGACAAAAGTATCACTAAAACGAAGGAAATTTAACAACAGTATTTCAACGGTAATCGTCCTATCCGTCACTTGAGCTCTCTCTCTCTCTCTCTTCCTCTCGCTCTCTTGCTCTCGCGCTCTCTCTATCGTTCTTGCTTGCTTGCTTGCTTGCTCGGCGTTTGGGCTTAGGGACACGTGAACCCCTCGCCCTGCGCTCAAGCGCTACGCCCTCGTCCACGTCCAGTCTTGAGTCGGCGTGAAACAGTTGAGAGTGTCGGTAAAGTTGGTGTCCCCGTTGGACCAACCATGAAATCCCTTTACAACTGTATCCCCCGGCAAATGCGCCCCCGCCTGAGACACCTGGTTGGTTCGGACCCGCACCCCTGCTCGGCCCCGCTGGTGTGATCAGGCGTTTTGGACCGGCCTCTCGTTTTCCACCGACAGGTGGCCCCTGTTACAATGACACACGACAAGGAGAGTAACTGCACCGGTACGGGAAAGCAGTAACGACAGCGACACCCTATGCAGCTCTATCGCTCTCTCTCTCTCTCTCTCTCTCTCGCTCTCCTCGCTCTCCTCGCTTTGCTTTGCTCTCTCGCTCTCGCTCTCTCTCTACCGCCAGGGCTATGGTGTAGGGGTTTGACCTTCTACTACACCGCGCGCAGGTGCGCCCCTGACGGTTGCGTCTCTCTCTCTCTCTCGCTCTCTCTCTCTTGTCTTGTCTTAGTGTCTTGTCTTGTCTCCGGGGTATAGGGTGCGAGCTAGGCACCCCGCGCCGAGTGGCGCACCCCTGTTTGAGGGGTTTGCGGGCTCGAAAATGCAAAAACATGCATGTTTGTGCCTGATGGTTGTTCGGCACAATGGGTCAGGGGACTTCCCCCTGGGCAACATCGGAACCTTTACAATTCAAAACCTAATCAGCGGTTTTCACAACTCAACGGTCCCACTGATTAAGCGGCTCCAGTTGAAGGGGAATAGCAGGGCAAAGACAGCAGATAGAACAACCAATAACGAAACGAAGGATCTTCCCCTGGTCGTGACTCCCCTTAAAGAAGAAAGGTGCAAGAGGTAATTATCGACTTGTGCGGCAGGCGGCAGGACGAAAGGGCGGCGAAGGGCCTCAAAAAGTTAGTCTAGGCGCTGCAGGTTGGCAACAAACCTAGAAGGAAAGCACGGTTGGCGTTGACATCTGCCCGGGGCCGAAGTCACTTAGAGGAATCAACTTGCAAGAACGACTGGCATTGCAGCTGGTCTGCGGCGGTTAGCTCACAGCACATGAAGGCTACAACATCACTAAGAGGAAAAACCCCTAAAAGAAACACAAAGACACCTTGAGCAATCCCCCGCAGTTCATGCAGTACACTTCGAATTTTTTCTCCCGGCACTCACTCCGGTCTCACTAGGTCTTCTGCGTGGCCGTCCTGTGTTCCCAGTGGCACAGGTCGTTGTGTCGGTAGCGGAGGTCTCTCGTCGTACCAGGGCCACTCAGGTGTGACGGGTTTGCTCTCCCAGGAGGCTGCTCAGTGCGGCCTGCTCCCCCGACGACGACAAGTCTGGAGTCGTGGGCGCCATCTCCCCCTCCTCGATGTCCAGCCATTCAGCAGTTGAGAGCTCAAGTACTTCTTCTGAGTAGTCTTCAAACCCCCCGGCTCTCGGGGGTTCTCCCCCCATTTTGTCCAGCATGCATGGCGATCCACTGCACGTCCTCGGCGACCTTCTCGAGGAATTTGCGCGGGTTCCCTCCACGGGTACGTAGAAAGCGAAGCACCACGACTGCTTTCCTATAAAGTTCTTTGTTGCGAACCTGGTCTTCATATTCCCCCCGGAGTTGTTCTTCTTCTGCGTCAGTGTGGTACCTCTGCAGGCCCTCGTCATAGTGCCATAGTGCTTGCCCCGTGTTGGGCACCATCGTAGGGCTCTTTTCCCCCACGTGACGTGTATCATGAGGATGTCCCGCAACTTGGAACGCATGGCCGGTCCATCCAGTCTCTGGCTTGCTTTGTCTTTGTGGGGCTGTACCATCCCGCTGGTGTTGAGGGCGTTCTCAACCGTCTCGGGCTGTGTCGCTTCTTCGCGTTCTCGGCCTTGCTCTTCCCCCGAAGCTGGTCTCCACTTGTCTTAGGCTTTCTTCCGAAGGGGGCTCTGTCCTCCCCCGACTGTTCCATGGAGTCTGCACTGAGGGTCGCTACGTTCGTGGTTCTTGCGAAAACTTGAAGTGTATATTTTCCCAGCTTCGCGGCACAGGCGGTAATAACCTTTGCCGTTTTTGTCTTTCCCGGGCTGGATCCCCCGGTCCATCCCCCCTTGGTTGGGGTCTTCTTGGGAACTCGCCATCGATGAAGAGGAACGCCGTCAGGTAGCCCAACGAGTTCTGCTTCAGTTCCACAGTATGCTCCGTCCCCCTACTAGCAGGCCTCCCCCGAAGGGGGCTGCGTTCAGGATCGGGAGGATGCGCAAAACCCTCGGGCCTCTTGAGAAAAGGAGCAGCAGGGAACAAGACTCAAGCGCTGCAGGAAAGGTGCGAAGGCTCCCCCAAGGTGAACAGCGTTGGGTCAACCTCACACCTCCATGCCAAGGGCGTCACAGGCCTCAGCAAAAGGTTGCTTGAGCCAAAATGGCTACGGGCTCTTTCTTTCCATAGGGCTGTGGTGGGGAGTTGCCTCCCCACCGCGCGCGAGTGCGCCCCCACCTGTTGTGGGTGGCTACGGGCTCTCTCTCTCTCTCTCTCTCTCTCTCTCTCTCTCTCTCTTTCTTCCGCCAGGGCTCTGGGCAAGGGGAAGCTCCCTCTCTCTCTCTCTTTCTTTCGCAAGGGCTAGGGTGTAGAGGGTTGCCCCCCTTCTTTTTCTTTCTTTCTGCGGGGCGTAGGGGTCGATCACTCGACCCTCAGGCCATTGGCCCGCCCACCCACCCCCTGTGTTTGCCCCCCCTACTCTCTCTCTGTTCTGTTCTGTTCTCCGGGGCATGGGGTGCATGTCAAGCTACTCTCTCTCTCTCTCTCTCTCTCTCTTTCTCTCTCTCTCCCTCTCCCTGGCATGAGGGTCGGTTAAGACCTCCGGGCCGCAGGCCCATCCGCATATATTTAATACAGGCTGAGGGGTGTGAGAAATGACTCAAGTCATATAATGTACTACAACGAATAGGAAGTATGTATGCTCTCTGGGACAAAGACTCCCCCTTCTACCGATGTTGCTCTTTTCAGTATGGACATAATAGCCGAATAAGAGCTAAAGAGGAGCAACATCAGTTGTTTCCCCTATGATCGATGAATTGTCGATTGTGAATGGATCAACTTTATCTTGTTGGATGTGTGCAGAGAGTGAGAGTAAGGGTTAAATCGACCATGCAAGGTCTAGCCATCAGCTGGTGTCTCCAGAATTGCTGGTCATCGGTGCGGTGCCTAGCTTCCGCTTGCTGCTGATTCTGGTCATGCTCTTAAATTGTGAGTGTAGTTCAACTCAATCTGTGTAGCTGAGCTGGTGCTTCAAGCATTCTTGATATTCTTGGACTTCTCCTCAAGTTTGTGTCATGTCATGATGTGGCTTTGTTGCTAAAGTGCAGCAGTGAGTGGTCATTGAATGCATAGACTATTAATATTACAACACGTCAATGTCAACATAGTCCGCATGACGATTGCGACTAAAGCTTCAGCACCTGTTTGGGTACAAGAAAGGATTCGTGAATACAAAACGAACAGAGATTGCCGGCATACTAATCTTACTAATCACTTCTACAGGCGCTTTCTGTTACAAGCTGGTTACAAGTCTCTCCCCCTGATTTACAAGTCTAGACATCAGCGGGACGATCCAGCAGTGACTTCATACGAGAGCCACTCTCTCTCTCTCTCTCTGCCACTCACTCACGTCCCAGCTGCTTGCTTCCGAAGGCGGTGTCGTAGTCCGGCCTTACGACTTTACCCTCATAACAGCATGCAGCATACCAGCATACCCCAACAATACAAGTGAGCACACCTCTTGCTGTACATCGTCGCCGGCGCGCAGGGCGCCTCCTCTGCGCACTTCATCTGCTCGCAGCACATGCTCCTGGGAGCTGAAAGAAATTCGATAATTGGCGAGTCGAAACCGGCGACTGCTTTCAGTTGGAGGCCTGGTGTGACCGGTGACCTGCTCGGGATTCAACTTCCGCTTCCAGAGGTCGTCATCCAGGCACTCCTTCTTGTGCTGCTGAAAGAAGGCGTCGCAAGTCATGGGCCCTTAGTTCTTGACTCGCTCACGGCGCGTCCGCTGCACCTTTGCTTTGCGTCCACCCCGCACAAAATTTTCGAGAGCCGAGATGCGGAGGCAGATGTCTGTCAAATGGATTGCATCCTCGAGGGTAATGGGGTTCTGCCCACGATATTCTAAACGCGTGTTGCCCGCCAAAGTCTTCACCTTGTCTGTCACTGTGATCTTCTGTCCCACTTTCGCCTTCTTCACAGTGAAAACCTTGACTTCTCACGCGTGCGCTGGGGAAACTGTGGCGATTGGCGTTGTTCGGAAAGTGCTGGCTGCAAGCCCAGGGGCATTGAAGCCTTCTCCACCTGCGAAGCCGAACTTGCGGTCCATCTGTCTCTCGGCAGAGTCGGCCACCATGCTCAAGGTCCAAGGTTTGCCTATCTCCCAGTCCTTGCAAGTCTGCACTCCCCTGGGGCGCTACACTGCAGCGAAATGAAACAAGTGCCACTACCGAGTTACTACCGTCACTACCTTGCAATCTCTGACCCCACCGCATGGCCCACAGGAGGACATGGAACTGCGGTACTGGTCAGGTTTGGGTAAGGCAGAGTGAACTGCTCAGCATGCTGTGTAAGTGGACCTGCAGTGCCGCTTCTCGTCTAACACTGACGGCCCACTTCTTAAAACTGAACACTCAAGCCACGAAGAACTCAAGTTTGCACCAAAACTCAGGATGGCCAGCAAGATTGGTCTGCAACTGGCCCAGAATGTCCCCCGAGAGGATATCGTCCAGATAACCCTTGTTTGGCAGCTCAAGTGAGTGGTCTCCGCCAACATGAAAACTCGATGCAACCGTGGCACAACTCCCTGAACAGTAACATTCACAGGTGGAAACTGGTTGTCTGGACAAGCGTTTCCATCTTTGTGCCTCGGCTGGAACATGTTTTCGAGAAGCACACCACTGTAGGGCGTTTCGAGGCACGCATGATGGATCCAGACGCTTCTTCTGCGACAGTCTCCGAAGACACAATGGCCCAGAAACGCGAAACGTCGTGCAGCATTCTGGTTCTACCGCTACTTTCTGGCTACCGCATGCTACCGCTGCAGAAACCCAGTCTCTTCCCTGAGTCGAAAAAGCCACGCTTCGAAGTCTTGCCTAGAAGACGTCTCTTCCGGAAACCAGGTGCGACTTGCGGAGCTTCTGCGTCACTGCGTTTTTGGATGCAAGCCGCGCAAGGGCGGTGGCCTCCTGTGCAGGTTCAGCACTCGGATCCAGAAAGTTCCAGGGTTCGCAAAGAGGTGTTGAGCCTGGCTGGAGTCGTGCTGGAGCTTCGGGCTGGCACTGGAGCTCCTCACGGAGGAATCGCGGCGAAGCGCGAAAGCAGCACGCCAGAGTCGCCAGAGTCTGCACCTCGACAGCTTGGCGGCCGTCACGAAGACGCTTGGCAGGCAAAGTGCCAGCCAAATGGCCTTCAGGGCTCCGGCACAAGACTGTGCGTCACGTGGAAGACTGGAGCATCCGCTGGCAAAGAGCTTCAACTGAAACATGATGCAATCAGCAGCCCTGCTGCACTTGCAGCCCGTGAGCCCAGTCTAGAAGCAAGCTCAAGCCGTACAGTGTTAGCCCTGTGCGCGACACACATCCGCTAAAAAGCGCCCCGCGCTGCGTCGTCTCAGGCGCTTAAGTTGGCTTTCAGGGCCCGGCCTTCATAGGTGCCGGCCCCTAGGGGCGCTAAAGCCAAAGGCCAGCCTGGACAGAGAGTCAACAAAAGGCAAACAGTGTCGCAGCCTACAGCACCGCTTCACTCGGGCGGCGACACCCGCAGCTTCGTTGGAGACGGCTACCGCATCAAGAACCCGTTCTACTGAGCTCTTCGAAGCTTGAGTTTTTCAGCGCGCATACGGGATAAGAAAGACTGGTTCCTTAGTCCATGGAGGTATGTGCGGGCAGTGCAAAATCTTCTTTTCCCATGTCGGCGCCAAGTTTTTTTTGTCGGCCCTGCAAGCAGCGTTTGGCTGACCTGTCGGGAAACTAGGATCGCACCGTCTTGACGGTCACATCCAAGACCACACCATCGGGCAACTTGTTGCCAGAGATGGTTCGGATGGCCAGCTCTGCGTCTTCTGTGATGCCGAACTTGAGGAGTGCAGCACCGGTGCATGCCCCCGCTCCATCTCTCAGGAGCCGAACACTCTGGATGGCTCCAAAGGGCGAGAAGATGGAGTAGAGGTACAGCCTCAAAAATCACAGGACGATAAAAACTAGGCGCCAAACAAACACACAAAAACCCCTTTGCTTGCGCAATGAACCACAATGCTCTTTCTCTCCTGCTCCTGCACCCGTTTTTCTCTGCATCCCTTTTTCCAAGAAGCTCATCGGCATTGTTCGGCAAGCCCTTGATGTAGAGGTTCGTTGGATCCATGGTGTGGGCCAGGACTGGCCTGAAACCCTTGACTCGAGACACCTCAGCCGCAGGCGCAGGTCTGAAAGCCAGAGTAAGAAGGTGTAATCCGAAAAAAGGGTACGTCATGGGCTCCTCTTATGTGTGAAGCTTCCTTCGGTTTCGGATATCTCCCACGGTCTTTCTCTAGACATCTCACAATCCCCAGCCACCTATGGGGAGCACAAGGAGTCGGTGTAGGAGCTGCTAAGTCCGGGCCAGGCGGGCTGTGGATCGTGGCGCATGCAAGACCTTACACGGAATATCCAGGTTTCCCTCCTTGCTCCAGCAAGGGGCGGTCTCGCTCACGGCCACCATGAACTCAGAGCCTTGGGTCTTCCAGCACACTAGCAGCAGCGATTCCGCAGGGAACGGCAGTCGTGTCTCTCGCCAGGTTGCTCGCTGGGCTCGGGTAGCGCATCTCGCGCGGCAGAGGTGCAGAACCCGAGCCGGGTGGGCTCGCAGCTTCCGGAGGGCCCTGAGCCAGACACACTCCAACTTTTTGGTTCGGCTCCTTCTTTGCAGGTCGCGTCAGGACAAAAAAGAGGGTCCGCACCTTGGAGCCGTAGGGCTCGTAGCGCTCGGAGCCGGGCGGGCCGGGGCCGGGGCCCGGGCCCCGCAGGTTTGGGCCTTGGGGCCCTTGGGGCCCAGGCTCCGGTGCGGCGAGGCGCACGGACAAGGGAGCCTCCAGGCCTGAGCGAGAGACCCAGAAAAAAAGGACCTGGGACTTTCAAAGGCTGCGACTCGGCCTGGCAAGACCTTCCCGTTGTATTCCATGACCAACCGATCTGCCTCGTCTCGCGACATGAGTCGCAAGAGAGCCTCAGCACTCCGTGAAGAGTCTGCCAGCGGAAAGCCTAAGCTTGCTTCGCACAAGAAGGAGGCCAGCGGCGACAGCTTTGCCGCTAGCCATGCCATCGTCCAACACCTTGGCAGTGACCTGCAAATATAGCAGCTGCCCTCCCTCGCTGCACTCGCTGCCATGAAAGCTCTCGCTCTGGCCTGACCGAACGCGGCAAAGAAGCTTTCCAGCTGCTCTTTGGAGGTGCCTGCGCCGACGAAGACCGAAGGGAATCTCAAGTTTCAAGCTGCACTGGCACCGCAGGGCCTTGTGGAAGCCCGGTGACGTGCAGGGTGAAGCCAGGCCGCGAGCGGTCCTCCTCGCCTGCAAAAGCTCTCCCCTGCTGCATCCTTGAGTGAGCTGATACGGTGGCCACTGGCGGCGCCTGCCACACCAGGTGAGGCCACGGGCGATGCGGCAGCCGCTGCAGCTGCCAGGGCTTGAGCCACAGCGACCACGGCTGCTGCCGGATTGTTTGCCATTGCTGCCTGCGTTGCTGCCTGCTCCTGAGTTGGCTGAAGGAAAGGCGGACCCTTTAAGCACAAGCGCACACATTGTAGGATGTGCAGGATGGACATAGTCATATAGGGTCTTTCTGCCGAGCATCTCTCATCTGCCAGGCCCGCTCGGAGCTGTTCGCATACTTAACCGTCAGCTGATAATCCCGATCCTAAAGACCGCTTTCTTCGAATGCTCACAGGGGCAGGGCACTTCACATCCACAATGCATCGAAGCCGCGATGATTCTGTTGTTCATGGCGTTTATAGCAGCTTCTGCTTCATCCGGACTTGTATAGTGTACGAAGCCATACTGCTTGTATATGCGTGCCTGGCAGTACAATCAATTTCTACACTCTGAAAGTCAGTTCCGGCTGCATAGGCGTCAATTTTGCACCGATGAACCCTTGCCAGGCCTCTCTGGCAAGCTTGACAGAAACGACATTTCCGAATTTTCGAAACAAGTCCTTCATGCCATTTTCGTCCATGTCCTAAGTTGCCGCGAGCTTCAACAGCCACCTCGGGCGACTAAAATCGACTAAATGAGCACAGGCACGGGGGGCAAACCCGACACATACAGGTTCGTTCCTCCAACCACGGGCGCTACAGGCGGCGCAGCGTTCCTGGCGGACTCCCCATTCTACCCTTTGTCAAACTTCTGTCGACAAGGTCGGTGGGCCTAGGATATGGCCCCGTGGTGTCATTGTTCGCCAGGCGGACGGTCATCGTGTGCCCATTAAAGTCGCGCCCATTCATGCCAGCGATGGCAGCTAGAGCCTCCAAAGAAGGAAGTGAACAAAAACATCGCATCCTGTTGCTTCTTCGAGCCTGGGCATCATACCGAAACTTCACGAAGCCGTAGCTTGGAGCTTGCGGCGTCTTGCCAAAGAAAGTTCGCACCGAAGCTACCTCGGCTAGGCATTTCGGCCTTTGGCAGCTGGCCAGCTGTGTCTGTGTCAGTGGCGCGGTGTCTATTTGTGTCGTATGTGCGACGCAGTGAGTTTGCTGCAGGGCGTGCAACGGCAACTGCCAAATGACGCAGTTAATCAGTTGGAGGTAGAGCCGAGGAGCATCACCGAAATTATTGAACAGCTGCCGCAGTGTATCTTCGCTGGTACTCGGCGGCAGACCAGCAACATAGAGATTGCTGTTCGCACCATTGCTCAGCAGATTGCCAGGTAGCATTACGGGCGGACTTGCAGGCTCTGCGTCAGCTTGTGATTTGTGAGGGGCTGAAATTACTTGCAACGGGGGCTTTCCTTTCCTCTGACCTTGCATGTGCTTCATGTCCTTGGTCGGGGCAGCCAGGTCACTAGTTGTCATTGTCTGAGTCTCTCCAAACACCTGAACACGAACACGAGACTCTGGAGGACTTGGTCATGGTCGTGGCACTTGTCATGCAGTCCACTCGAGCCACCCCAGGTGCTGCCGCACAAGAGTGCTTTGCAAATTCTGGACTCCAGACCTGCTGACGCACTCCCCTCCTATCACTTCCGTCACCTCCATCTTGCAGCTCTCTGAGACAAGCGCGGTGGTCCGCGCATACCTCCTACACCGTGAAACGGCCTGCGCCTGGCATCTATTGTAACGATCCCTCGGTGAACGGGGGCTACGCCGGCTACACTTCACATGCTGACCGTGGTCACGAAGCTCCGCAGCTTTTGCATCTCTCGCCTGAGAGTCGACATCTCAGTTTCCACCTGGCCCACGACCGAACGGATCAGCTGCAAGAGTTTGAGGGACTGGAGCGTCGAGATGGGTGTATCCATCAGGCATAGGTTCAGCAAGCCCTCAACGAATTCAATCTGTGTGAGTTCTTTCGTGCCATCGACCTCCAAGTAGCAAGTGAGTCAAAAGGATTCGAGGCTTCTACTGAGCTTCACTACGCTCCTTCATTATGTTTAAATTAATTGAATAAAAGAGGTGGAGCGGTGGTTGGGTTCTTTGTCTTCTTTATTTTAATTAAATTCGCGCTTCTCTTGTTTCACGCGTTCCATTGCAATTTAATTAAAAGAAAGAAAGAAAGAAGAGAAACCACCAACCACCCATCCCTCCTTCCCGCCACCGTTCCTCGCCAATCAGATTAAAGGTTGACCGTTGGTGGCAGATGACAAAGGGAAAAAGGAAGAACAAAAGATCTAGTTTAAAATAAACAAAGGTAAGCGAATGTGCACGCTTTGTTTCTTTTTAAATTAGTTCCTTTCTTCTTATTACAGACTAACAAACAACGTTGATGCAATATGCCGCCCCCTACAGGCAACTAGTGATCCATGGACCATGTGTAAACCGTGGGGCAACTCGTTGTATGCTATGCCGCCACGAGGCATCCAAGTAATCAAAGATGTCGGCCATGCCTTTGTGAATGCGTGCGTCAGTGCATGAATGCTACATGGGGGGGGCTACAATACTTCCACTTCCAACGACTCCGTATTGCCCATGCCGCCCATGCCATCAAGAGGCTGTCTGCATAGATCGTGTCCAAGACCCGGGGAGGCAATACGCTTAAAGGCACGTGCTCCACCTCTTCGCGTGTCAGCAGGCCACTCCGGTCTTTGTCCAGCTCATGGAAAATCTCGATCAGGGATGGCAGTGCCTGACGCACTTGGCCGATGCACAGGAAAGACTCGAGAACCCTCGTCTGGCTTCGACAATGATCGCTGAAACTTCTGAGCCAGGGGACGCTCTGGACCCGCTTCTTCAGCTTCTGACGCTCTTCTTCCGCTTCGTGAGCCGCCGTTTCCATCGCATTTTCGACTAAGGCAGCAGTCACCAGGTTCATCAGACCCACCTTAGATCCCCCCAGCTCTCCACAAAAGAAGTCTAAGCCTCAAAGCTACCGAACAACAAACCCTATACATGCCTATAATTCCTATCTGTTGATTTGACTACGCCACTGAAAGGAAGATCAAGAGCGGCATGAAGTAGAAAGCAAGCACAGGCTTGTTCATGATGAGCGGATAGTAGACTTCTGCGATGGAATCTAAGGTCACAAACTGTATCAGTGTCAGGAATGTACTATTGAGGCCAGAGAAATAGTCTCTCACGATGTCTCTGGTCGGCTGTGACTCCGTCAGGTTCCTGTCTTTTGAGATGAGCTCCACCGCAACACATGAGAAAATAAATAAGAGAATCGCGATCAGCGCTGTGGTCGAGATGATGGTCTGTCCGGCAGCCAACATACCATAAACCAGTCTCCAAATCAGCTTGAAGTGCCGGAGCATGCGAAGGGCTCTCACTAACCTGGCGGCGTCAAAGATAAGAGAGTCAGAGGCCCAGACACAGCAAGCCTAGAACTTCCTTGGGTCCAAGGAGCATCCTGAATCCGAGGGCCCAGGACTCCCAGGACCCCCTCTCACTCCCCGCACACCCTTACCCCAATCCGGCCCAATCCTATAAATGACCTTGGTGTTTCCGGCCACGCGCCCCCACCTGAACAAACGAAAGCCTCGCACCACCAGCACTGAGTAGAAGCTTTCGGCCTCCGTTCCCGGCCTCCGCTCACCCGAGGGACGATCTCCAGTGCCAAAGCCCCGATCATCATCAGTGTAAGGTCCATCCTGAAATGTACCAAGCTTCGAAAACTCCAGCAATTTCAGGAACACTTCCGAATCCTACAACTGAACTCTTCAGAACTGCAAGCCGTCTGAGCATCAAGAACCACAAGTCTTTGAAGGCCGCACAGCCCAAGCCGGTGACGCGCAGCGCCGCTTCGATGGTGTAAAGCACGAGGAAGATCCGCTCAACGCCTCAAAACATGCGGAAAAGGCAGTGGCCTTAGCAAAACTCCAAAAACCTTCCAAAGACCTAAACCCAGAATCCTATAAGTCCATGCCCCGTCCTCCAGGCCAGAAATTCTCTGCATAGACCTCGCCGGTCTGCAAAGAGACCTGGGCCTCGATGCCGATGAAGATCAAGTTCCTGGGTCGGTTGCGCTCTTCACAAAGCTGCCTTGCGGGGCCCCGGTTTTCTCGCAACGGAGTGGCTTTCGTGCCGCGCGCCGTGTTGCTTCCTACTTGGAGTGAGCCCCCCGGCTTGCACTCGCAAAATCCAAATCGCAGAGCGTAGTTCGAACACCCCCGCACCCCGGGAAGTTGCAAAATCCGAGGCGGCCAAGCGGATGCAAACTTCATGGACGTGGTGTCGCAGCTGTTTCGACTTAGCCCGGTGACCAGCAAACTTCTTGGGGATTTTCGACTCGCGCATTCGCATGCTTAGGGTTTGCAGGTTTTGCGGGTCTCCGCCAGCAGCAGCAGGAAAAGAGGTGCGGTGCTGCTCAAAGTTTATCTGAAGTCAGCTGGCGCATCCCACCCCGTGGACCATCTTGTTTCTCTGACTATACTAGTATTATTCGTACTACGACGATATGGCCCAAAGATTCCCAAAGTAAGCCTAACTACGGGGAGGGCTTTCCGCATCCTCGGAAGGGGGGGGAAGGACGTAGGCCTTGCGCCCTGAGGCAAGCTTTTCCCTTGGCAGCATACCCGAACAGCTATTCCATACACTCTTCCCCTCAGAGAAAAAACAGGACTGAGGACAGCCAGGGCGCAAAAGAATGATAATGCCCGCAACAAACTCGAAAAGGCTCGAATTGACAATCGCGCCGACGGTCTGGCGAAATGCCTCTATTCGCGAGAGCTTCTGGGTTGTCACCTTCCGTAGCCAGATTTGGAAAGCTCAGAACATGGCAACATGGAAGTCTGCTTGCATGTCCGAGGTATTGCTTATGCTTTTGGCTGCCTCGGCATCATGAAGCACCTCCGACACCAACTTCCGCAGCGGTCCGGTGGGAAGGTTTTGGACGACGGACTTCCGGGGCCTCAGGAAGGGCCAGGAGCGACAGGAGCGATGTGGCACTTTGACGTGCGCAGCGTGTCATTGTCATCGTGCCTCTCTCGAGACATGTGCTCAGGGCCGTTCGTGTGCGTTTGGGTGCGTGCGTGTGTGCGTGTGTGCGCGTGCGGGTGGGTGTGCGTGTGCGTGTGTGTGTGTGTGTGAACTTCCTTAGCCTCTGGGAACAGAGGGTCACTCCTACATCGTTATGCTTTTTTTGTAGCATGGGGCATGCAGCACCTTTGGCATACCGCACGCAACGAAGCTATTGCCAATGGTGGGAAGGGATCAAGGACGATCCCGTATCTGCAACGAAGTTTGTGACATCCTGCCCGAATACAAGCATGGTGCCATCTTGTGATATCGTCGCAGTACAAACATTGTATCAGCAGCCAGCCCGCAACAGCCTCAGGTCAGTGCCTACTTCACAGCAGCCGTTGCGTTTGCATAACAGTCATTAACAACCCCGCCTCACCCCTCGTCTCTGCTCTTGCCGAAATCCCACAAGTGCGGAACATAGGCCCGGAGACCTGTAAAACAGCAGCTTTCCGTTAGGCGCCGTGGTGGCCCTGCGGGGGGTTTAGGTCTCTTTTTGCCACGGAGGCGGCGGGACGCGGGACGCAGGACGCGGTATACGGGACGCCAAACGCGAACGCGGGATGCATGGACGAGGGACGTGGGACTTGGGGCGCGGGACTTGGGTCTATCTATCTATCTATCTATCTGAACCCGAATCGCGAAAGGAGGGGTCTGTTTAAGATGCACGATGAACCGCACTCGCCAAATGAGGGGCACGTTTAAGATATATGATTCATATGAACCGAGGGGGCGTGTTTAAGATCTGTTGTTTGCCTGTTGGTTTGCTTGATTGTTTGCTTTTATGCTGTTTGTTCGGTTTGTTCGTTCGTTTGTTTGTTTGTTTGTTTGTTTGCTTGTCTGTGTGTGTGTGTGTGCGCGTGTGTTTTGTTTGCGCGTGCTTATTTGCATGTTTGTGCTGTACTGCTTCGACGATTCGAGGGGCTGGAGCAAGGACTGCGAGCTCAAGGACTTGCGATGCCCCACTCCATCGCTGTCATCAATGGGGCTGGGTAGCTCCATTATGTCTCCAATCGGGCCCGTTCTGCGTGCAGCTGTCTCGTTCAGCATGACGGAGTCCGTGATCATATCGCTATCGGCGTCTGAGCCGAATGCCCTGGCGATCTCAGGGGTACGAAAGTGGATCTGCACGGAGGCACGCGTCTTGGACGTGGCCGGCACAGCCGGTGCCTGGTGCCTTCAGTGTCCGCTACCATGCTACCAGTCTACGAGTCTACAGCTATTGAGTGGTGACGGGTGCTATTTGTATGACTCATGAAACAAAGTAAAGTCAACTTATAACTCCAGCGGCTGGAGGGGCCCTCGAGGTGCGCCAGAGGTCTGACTGTGGATGCCGAGCAGTGCATCCACCGAGAGCCGCCACTCCCGAAGCTGGTTCTGCAAGATCTTGAGGTTAGTGGAAGACGTTTGCTGCTGTTCCAAGACCTCTGACAGCTTCGAGAGCACTTCCTCATTCATTCTGAAACCGCGGAAGAAGCGGGCCCAAGGCCCAACGGCTGAAACGATGCTTCGAAGCGGCTTGAGCAAAGATGCTCTGAAGCGGCCAAGATATCCATCCCCCAATCGGAACACAAACCATGGCGGCCCTGCAGAGAGCGGCGGCCCAAAGCTACGCGACCCACGACTTGTTGGAGGTGTTTTCGAAACTCTGCCAGCGGCAGCGCCACAGTGGAAAGTGCAGTGAAACAGTCGCTAACAATCCGTACAGCAGGAAGCCGTGATGCATGCTGCCTTCGAACAGCAAAGTTGACGACAAACAAGTTCAATCCATGGTCCGGTTTGAAAGGACCATTACTTCCGTCCCTGTTATTCACATTCTCCAACATTCTGGCCTGGCTATGCCTGGCTTCCTGGTGCGTCAGACCAGCTCTACGTGACCCGCCTGACCGATTGCTTGAACGTGTGCCTTCAGCGACGTTATGTCCTGGTCGACTTTGCCCAACAAGCCACGGATCAACTGCAGAAGCTTCAGCGACTGGATGGTGGAGATGGGCATGTCCATCAAGCAAAGATTCAACAGTCCCTCAACAAACTCCATTTGTGAAAGCTGCCCTGTTCCGTCCACATCCAAGTAGTCCTGGGTTGTGGTTTGGGGCCTGCGAAAAGTGTTCATGCATTGTGGGTTGTGCCAAAGCAACAGACGGCAAAAAGACAAAACAGCTCTGAGGGTCAAAGATGTCTGCCATGCTTTCCACATAGATGGCATCAAGGACCCTTGGAGGCAGGACATCTAACGGCACGTTTACCACCTCCTCATGCGTCAGAAGCCCACTACGGTCCGTGTCCAAGGCGTGAAAGATCTCGATCAGCGAGGGTAAGGCCTGGGCTGCCAGAAATAGGCCACGCGCAATTGAGCCTGAAAGCCACTGAGGCTTTGGCACCCCGCACCCTCTTCTTCAACTTCAGGCGTTCCTCTTCAGCTTCGTGTGCTGCCGTTTGCATTGCGTTTTCCACGAGGGCTGCCGTGACCAAATTCATCAGGCCAATCGAGATGAAGACCAGAATAGGAAAGAAGTACAAACAAAGCCAGGGTCTGGTCATGATGAGCGGGTAGTACACGTCCGAGAGGTTGTCGAGCGTTACGAACTGCATCAGGGTCACCATCGCCCGATTCAGGCCGAAGAACTGCTTCTCCACGATCTCGGCGGTAGCCTCAGCACGAGCCAAGTACTCATCCTTCGCGATGACCTCCACGGCGACGCAAGCGAAGATGAACAAGGAGACCATGATCCTCTGAGGCGAGATGCTGCTAAATCTTTCTCTCAGTAAGCCCTTCAGAGCACTAGCTCGACAGAACAGCCAAGAAACAACATAGTGGTGGAGATGATCGTCTGCCCTGCATTCATCAGCCCGTAGATGAGCCGCCACACAATCTCAGATGCACTTTGTCATGAGTCGGCTTATTGGCTTAGACCAGCGCAGCGCAAGTGACCTTGAAGTGCCGCAGCATCCGCCAGGCTCGGACGAGTCGAAACAAGCGCAGGCCTCGGACGGATCAGCGAAAATCGCGTTCACTGAGTTTCCACACCAGAGCTGTTGCAGTAAAAAAGGCTCATACAGGAGCGGTTCGAAATGGACATGCTTGCTGGTTTGTGCATGCCGATGTCTGAGAACCAGAATCTGTTTTTCGGGAGATCTTCATCGAACTACCCACCAACAAAAACACAAGGCAGAGATGGCGCCGTGCTTTCACAAGGCGTCTGGCGTGGCAGTGGCATTTCAGAATTTCAGTCTCCTCCCATGGCCTAAGCTCATCGCCCCTGTACAGCCACAGCCTCTCCGTTCGCCCCTCCCCGCAAACCCAGCAGGAGGCGAGGTCGCTCTCAAGCCTTTTAAAATCCGAAATTAAACCCTGAGAAGACCCCGCCTCGCACAACGAGCAGTCTCTCGAAGCCATCGATGTCCCCAGAATTGCCAGCGACAGCCGGCACAATCAGGAGCGCCTCAAAAGGCAACTAAATCATTGACTCTCGGCAATCTTTTCAACCAGAGAGTTCTCTCTTTAGACACCTGCGAGCATTCCACAAGATGACAGCATGTCAATGTTCTGGTGGACTTGCCTACGTTGCCGGTTCGGGAAGTCTTGATTTGAGTCAAATGCATCACGAGCACAAGCAACCCAACGATGACCAGGGCCACATCCAACCTCGGTGGCAAAGCGTCAAGAGCATCACGCTCTGGCTAGACAAGCCGAATCATGTCGTTGCTTGGCAGTTGTTTTTGGTGGTGTTAGTGAGTCGTACGAGTATTGGAAAGTTAACGCGAGGGCGGGGCTATTGACAAAGAAGACATGATAGTGTGTCGACGAAGTTGAAGAACTGTCTGCAAGCAATACCTTTGGCGGGGAGTTGTTGCGATCTCTGGAGCTTCAGTCTTCTATGAACTATGCGTGGCCGTGAAGCAGGAACCAGAGGTCTAGGAAGATCATCAGGCCGCCAGCGACCAGGCGCAGCAGCGCCTCGACGCTGTAGATAGCGAGGAAGATCCTCTCCACGCCTGGGAGACGGGCGAGGACTCACTGACACGGGAAACACCTTCGGTTGAGCTCCATTTTTTTACGCACACGCTTCTCTCCTCCAGGCCAGAAGTTGCCGGTGTAGGTCTCGCCGCTGTGCAAGGAGAGCTGAGCTTCGATGCCGATCGTCACCAGGTTCCTGTGAGGACAGCACTTCAGGAGGCCGGAGGCCGGGAAGACCCCAAAACGGATTGAACTTCTTAGGGCCGAGAGACAGGAGGATGATCACCCCGGCGCCGAACTCAAACCACGAGGACTGGACGATACCAGCTGCCTGCAGAGCAGGGATTTCTCCCTGAGCAGGGTAAGGGTCAAAGGTGGAGTATCACAGTATCACAGTATCACTATCTCTGAATCCCCGAGCTTCGGCCCTTGAGCGGTGGCCGCGAGCCTTGGCGCGGAGGCGGCCCAGCCACGAGAGCTCTTTGGGGGCTGCCTCAGACTCAGATCTTCAGAGGAAACAGATCGGAGCTGCTCTCTGGTGCGGGCCTTGCTATCGTTCAACACCTCGGTGACGAGCTTGCGCAATGGCCCTGCCGGGAAGTTCTGGGCAACGGTGTTCCGAGACCTTCAGAGAGGGGAGCAGAAAAAGAAGACTTGATTATAGGCGCCGGGGGCAAGCCTCAACAAAGACTCCGTGCTCATTGACCTTCTGCTGAAGGATATGGATGCCCTGTTTGGCTCGTCGTTTCCTTCCTCGTTGTCTTCATTTGAAGCAGGATCGGTGTCCTTCTGCTTCTCACGAGCCTCCTGAACCGCTGGGGGAGCCGGCACCAGTGGAGCGCCCTCTGCTTGGCTCCGAATGTCCGCGAGAAGCTCATCCACCGACCGCTGCCACTCGCGGTGCTGGTCTCGAAGAAGCTGTATGTGGGAAGAAGACGTAGTCTGCTGCTCCTGGATTTCAGAGAGCTTGGCCAGAAGCCCGGCGGTGGCCATTGCCCGGGCAGAGGAGGGGAACTTCACACCCCGTGGGGCCGTGTCTCTTTAAGCACTTCGAGGCATTTCGCTCGTGCTCTGCGAGGGTGTGGAGCTGCTGCCGTGCTACCCGTCAATTGGACTATTCTGCCAGCTTGGGGAGAGGGCAACAGCATGCACATGACTCTGCCAGCTGGAACACAGACCATATAAGAACATCCGTGCTCGTGTGTGTGTGTGTACGTGCCTGCGAACACATTCAAACACATGAATGCAAAAACAAGCCTACATACCTTCACATGTGATGAACATCAAAAACACACACGAATGAGCGGAACGAGCAAATCATGCTCCCACGGCTTCGATCTTCCGTTGCCGGTGAACTGAAGTTTTACTCGCCCTGAGCACCACTTCGACTCCGGTCCATGTCTAGAGGGGATCCCAAGACGTGGCTTCCAGCTCAGCTCGACGAGGAGCGCGACCAACGTGACCTTTGGCGCTTCTTCCTTTCCGCGTCGGACTCCGAGGACTCTGAGGAGTCCCGCTTCTTGGGCTTGGCCTCCGGCTTCCCCTTGGCCTGCCACAGATTTCGTGGGAAACTGTCGGAATGCTTCTCAAGTTTCTTCGAGGCCTGGTCTGGGTCTGGATCTGGCTTCTTTGCGTCCTCGGGCTCCTCAGGCTCCTCGGGCTCCGCCACCTTGTCCTTCCAGTGATTCCGGAAGCTGGCCAAGATCTCCTGTCAGGAGTCCCAAGGAGAAAAAAAAGGAGTGACCACAGCCCCCCCCCCACACAGCCCTCTGGGCCCCAAGGAGCGGCCTGGGCGGACTTGGGCTTCCCCGACGCCAGGTTTCGGGATCTCGCGTTCACGGCCTCGGCGGCCTTCGCGGCGGCCTTCGCGGCAAGCTGGGCCTTCGTTGGCTGCGACAGCTGCGCTTTCGCCCACCTCGCACTCGCAACGAGCTGTAATTATCAAATGCTCGGCACAGCGATGTCTTTCACAACTCAATCGGAGCTCTGCTAGGCCATGCCAATCGCGGGAAAAGGCGCACGCTGTCATCTCCAATGTTCCGGTAGAGCATGTCCCCTCTCCCGCGCTTGCCGGCATGCGACATACTTCGCCGCAGGTGGTTTCTGAATACGACAACAAAGCCAAAGTTGTGTTTCGAAGGCATGCCAGGCCGAACTGGTTAAAGGCTCGACCTGCCCACGTTACCCGCAATAGACTCTGCAGACCTTACATGACCTTACAACAGCCCCAGTGACACGATGCAGCGTGGTGTGACACGGCACATGTTTCACTAGTCTCTGGACCAGGAGCGCTGCAGAGCCATGTTTTGCACTGAAGACTGTTGTGTCGGGCCTCTGGTTACCACAGTCAAGCGGGCTCAAGTAAATGTGTGGCATCTGCTTTCTGGCTGGACTTCATTCACACCTACCGGACAACGTCGCCCCTCGTGGTTTTGCACAGCATGTGCAGTCGTCCGGTGCACCAAGTCAGCAGTGAGTTACGTCTTACGCGTAACCATTCGAAATCTAAGGCTTCAAGACCGAGTGAAACAGCTGCTCCGTCACATCGTCACAACGTCCCTATCGACGTAGGGTCCGTAGGGTAGCGACTGCACCAACCACTCGCAGCACTGTTCAATGTTCGACACACGGCTGTTTACCAACTTCAAGAGCCGGAGGTTCTGTAAAGTCCACATTGGCATGTCCAAGAGTGACAAGTTCAACAAGCCTTCCACAAATTCCATCTGAGTAAGAAACCCGGAGTCGTCCACATCCAAGAGGTCGAAAATGTCTTCCATGTTGTCCACACAGACGGCCTCCAGCACCCGCGGCGGCAAAATGTCGATGGGGACGTGAGACACCTCCTCCCGCGTGATTAGGCCACTGTGGTCTGTGTCGATGGTTTGAAAGATCCCAATCAAGACTGGCAGTGCCTCGGATCGAAGAATCAATATGATTAAAGACTTCTTCACAGCCTTCCAGCCGGGCCGCTCCCCGCACCTTCCGCTTCAGCATGGCCCGCTCCTGGCTGTCTCTCCGAGAGAACATTGGTGCTGATTTTCTGCGCATCTCCTCTTCCATGCTGTGCGCGGCATTGTCCATGGCATTCTCCACCTTCGCAAGATCTGGTGCGTGTCTGGGTCTGAGCGAGCCACAGGTCACGACATGTTGCCAGCAAGGCACCAGTGCCGCAGTGACGAGATTCAGGAGGCCGATGGAGATGAACACCTCACAGGCTGCAGGCAACAAAGAAAGAGCCGGCACCACAGGAAACCCAAGTCTTTGCGGCATAGCGTCTAGGATGGGAAGGAAGTACGTCCAAAGCCTGGGCTGTAGCGTGTGGAAAGTGTCAGATGCTCTTTCGGACTCCCTGAGCACGCAGCCAAGGCTTTTTCAGGATCAAAGGGAACCAGACTTCGGAGAGTCCGTCCAAGGTGACGAACTGTCAGGCTGCGGAGCACGTCTTGTGCTGCAACAAGCGACATGTGGCATCCGTTCCTGCCTGAGTGAGTGTGAGGATTGCCTTCCCCACACCTCGAAAGCGTCCGATGACAATGTCTCGGGTCGACATGTCTGCAAGAAGGTCGGCATCTTTCGCAATTAGTTCCACTGCCACGCACGCGAAGATGAAGAGTGACACGAGGATCAGCGCCGTCGTCGAGAGGATTGTTTGGCTAGCTGTCAAAAGTCCATAGACCAAACGCCACATGATCTTGAAGTGGCGCACCATTCGGAGGACTCGCACCAAACGCAGGAGCCGCACGCCCCGGACCACCAACAATTTCTCCTTGGACTCAAACTCTAAGGCCATCTTAAGGCTCCTTAACAGCCCAACTCCCCCTGCCCGGTTAAGTTGTCCGACATCTTGCGGTTTGGGCTCGAAGCCGCTGGTGTCTTCGCCTCCAACGATGGCAGGCACGACCCAAAGGGCAAGGAGCCCGATGGCAATCAGGCACACGTCCATCCAGAACCAAAGGTCTTGGAACACCACACATCCCCTCAGAAGCAGATCTCGATTTTGGGAGTCTGAGACCGTTTTCGCTTAAGGCTGGGACCGCCCAAAGAGTTGCAAGGCGGCTTCCAAGCAGTAGATCCCCAAAAAGATGCTCTCGATGCCGCTGAACCAAAGGCTGTGCTGCGACATCTCGTCCTAGCTTAAGGCGGGTGGTGGCATCAGTCTAGCAGCTAGCAGATTAGAATGGAGGCCGCCGAGGCGACACACGCAGAGGCGAGTCTCCTGCAAGGACATCTCGGCCTCGACCCCGATGGCGACAAGGTTCCTGTTCCGAGAGGCCAGAGAAGGCGGTTCTCTGTAAGATTGGAAGCTGTGACGCCAAGCTGCAACAGGATCACAAAGCCGGAAAAGAACTCGAAGAAGCTTGAAGACACGAGATGGTCACACATCTCCCTCGCTTTGCTGATCGGTGAGACCATCACTGCACCATTTGCCTGCACAAAGTGCCCAGTGCCCTTTCCGGACTCTTTTCTCACTCACTCTCTCCGAGACTCCTCGCCTCGCTGTGAGGAAGCAGCTCTATGAGCAGCTTGCGGAGGGGGCCAGCAGGTGCATGCCGCAGAACCGACTTTCGAGACCTGCAGGAAGCCATGAAGCACGAGACTTGTCTCGGAGGCTACCTAACTAGTTCAGTCCGGACCCCTCAAGTCTGGCTGCCGCCACAGAGCTTCAGTAATGGATGAAGGGCCACCGCTTTGTTGCCACGGTCGATAGTTGCGGCTCCAGCATCCCTCTCCACGATTGACCGCCGGCCTTTGCACCCCGGCAACTCCGGCCAGAAACGCTTCTTTCTGTCGCCAGGTTCGCTTCTCTCTCTGTCTCTGCCGTTGCATCTGGAGGGTCTAGCAGCGCCACAAACACTCCTTTATTAAGACGAGCTTTGACACTGACGCCTGGGCAAGCCGGGAAAGGGCTGTCAAGGTAAAGGCATGACGAAGTGCTGTCGTGGAAGCTACTCAATACGCTACCGACGGGTTTCGACTTTCACTCTTGGATCAGCCGGGCGAGGCTTGTCCAGGTCGGCAGGGGGAAACGAGCTAGTCAAACTCCTGTCTGGATCGGGCTTGCGAGATATCGATGCCAACTGAATGCTTGAACTCTACAAGCGGTGAGCATTTTCAACTATTGTTCTCGGGCTGTACGTATACACAGCCTTCCGAGAAGCCCCTACATCACCTATGAGACTAAATGCGGTAATCATGTTGCTGGTTGGGCATCGACGTGCTCATTCCGTCAGGTTACCGACATCACGACCATGAAACCGTAGCTCACGCACCCATAATGCAAAGCGGTGTATAAAGAGATTCTTTTTCGTTTAGCAGTGCGAAGTCACCGCGCAAGCTCGCTCAGAAAAGTTTTCAACCGCCTCGAGGTCTGACCAGCCGAGTAGAATCTCCAGTGCATAAGCATAGCTTGCAAGACTTAGAACCCATGACTCGAAACTTAGAAATTTCGAAACTCCGCATGTGTTCTGGGTCAGGCTTCAGCCAAATTGGCCAACAGTTACATGCTACAAACCCCTGAACCGTACATACATACTGCCGGGAACCTTTCAAAGCCAAGCTGCGTCGGGGCTCTCTGGGCTCTTCAGGTAGTTCCCTGAGTTGCAATTCCAGAGCGTTCTCGTGATTCTTGAATGCCGAGTCCACCCGCTCCAGCAAACTTTCGACAGTCCCTGGCAGTGTCTGACACGCTTCGAAAGCAAGGAGCCCTCAGACTAAGTACATATCAGGACCGTTTGCCTACAGCAACAGCACTGCGTAAGAAATCACTGGTTTAAGAAGAGGGTGCGTCGGAATACGGGCCCGTGTTTTTCGAGCGAAATAAGCGATTTTCAATAGATCTTTTATGATTCTCAGGCATTGCGGCTTCTCTTGAATGAAATCACACACAATGGCAAAATCTCCTGCATGCTATAAGTATGCTGAATGGTAGTTGATAAAACAATTTTGCAATCAATAGACATTTGGTTTTGTGCGACCAAGTTACCTGTTGGGGGCTATTTGAGTTTGCCACCCATCCCATTTTTCTGTAGACTCAGGAGGTATGAGCAACATATCAGATCCACAACCTATTTTCGATCTTGGTATCCACTATATCTTTCAACATTCCGAATTAACATCATTTATGCTCTGTGAGTTGGGGCAGAAATGCCATATTTAGGTTTTAAAGTCTGGGCTCTCCACCATGTTCTTCTTAAGTTGCTGGGTTTGCCAGATCATCTTTTATTGGAGTTTGAGGTGCTTCTGACCTAGTAGGCTTTACTGGATTTTTCATCCGCAATCTGCCACCAATGGTGAACACATTGGACATGCCACAAATGTATCCTAGCCAGAATTTAACATGGTAACTTGGAATTGGTTACCCTTCTTCGGGATGACGGACTGAATCCCATCGTCTCCCTTGAAATAATTTTTTAGGTTTGCCACCCAACTTGTCCAATATGGTGGATTGTTGGAACCCAATCGTGGTATTAGTGTTTGGGATGCATCATCTCATCTCCTTCACATATCTTAGTTTAAGATTCAGCATATATATATATATAATATCCGCCGACCCCTTGGTGGGCGGCGCCAGTGATATCCCGCAAGGTCGTCGGTCTGTTGCTTTTTGCTTGTGTTTAGAGAGTATTGAAAAGCTGCAAGTGCGTGCCCGGACCCCCCCGCTCCCTCACGACCCTCACCGCCCTCAGCACGCTCAGCGCCCATCTCACGGCTCCACCACCTTTCCACTCACACCGCTTTCAGCATTCTTAGACTTTTTTGTATGTGTTTCGAGTTTGTAAAGGTACCGCTTCCAGCATTTTTAAACGTTTTTGTATGTGTTTAGAAAGTATTTAAAGGCTGCCAATGTGTGTCCGGACCCCTGCACCTTCGCCACCCGCACCACCCCCACCACCCCACCGCCACTGCCCCCCCGCCCCCCCATTGCCACCACCACACCCACACCCCCACCACCCCCACCACCCCAGCACCCACCGCCACTGCCCAAACTCCTTCCTCGCCTCAAGCGAGCGACGCGCAGCGTTTAAACTCCTTCCTCGGCGTCAGAGCTCAGGCGTACACGCACAGCGTTTCGAACGCTTCATCGCGCGTCCTTCCTGCGTTTTTTAGCGGTC